TTTTTAAACAAAACTTCAAAAAAAAACATAGTCCAACACCCCTCCAAAACCGGACACATGAAACATAATCACCATCTGGTACAACTAAGCTAGCAACGTACAAGCTAGGAAACAACCAAAGCCAAAACAAACAAAGGCAAACAACAAGACAACAAAACACCACAACAACAAACAAAGCAACACAAATAAGCAAAGACAGGTTGTAAGAGAGGAACACAACAACATCAAGGAACACCAACGCAGGACCAGAGAACAGCCAAGCATAACAGCAGCCCACAACAATAGCAAGCTGAAAAACAAGTAGCCAGCAGCAGACAGAAGAAACAAAGCTTCACAGAACAACACAAACAGCCTTGCAGCAGAGAGCAGCAAACAGAAGCAAGTCAGCTCCTAGGCAAACACAGCAAGCAGCACAAAGTAGCACAATATAACACAACAAACCCCTGTCAAACCCAAACAAACCAGCATGCAGAAGAAAACAGAGATCACATAGGGCTATACATACACAGACACACACACACACAAATCGCATTTTAGCTATTCGCACCCCAAACAGCCATTAATTTGAAATCAAAATCCGCAAAAATTAGCTAAAATCAGACCCTAAATTCGAACACTAAATCTCTGAAATTCGAAATCTAAAATTGAACTATATATCCGCAAAAATAAGCAAAAATCGAACCCTACATTTGCAATAATCGAACTAAAAAAAAAAAATCAAACTCCATGCAAAATTCTTAAAATCAAATCAAAAAAATCGAACTCAGGAGCAGCAAACAGAAGCAAGTCAGCTCCTAGGCAAATACAACAAGCAGCACAAAGTAGCACAACAACACATCTAACCCCTGTCAAACCCAAACAAACCAGCACGCAGCATGAATAGAGATCACATAGGGCTATACATACACAAACACACACACATAAATCGCATTTTAGCTATTCGCATCCCAAACCGCCATTAATTCGAAATCAAAATCTGAAAAAATTAGCTAAAATCAAACCCTAAATTCGAACACTAAATCTCTGAAATTCGAAATCTAAAATCGAACTATAGATCCGCAAAAATAAGCAAATTGCAAAAATCGAACTCAAAAAAATCAAACTCCATGCGAAACTCTTAAAATCAAATCAGAAAAATCGAACTCATGCAAAATTCATGAAAATCGAATAGAAAAAACGCAAATATCAAATCACAAAAATCGCTGAAAATTCGTGAAAAAACAAACAAATTGTCGAATATAATCATACCTGAATTGTGATATCTAGAGTTTTTTCGCCAAAATTTGCTCTTAACACAGTAGAGAGAGTAACAGGGAAGCTGGTTGAAGAGAGATAAAGTACGAAAGAGGAGAGAATAAAGAGGAGAGAGAAAATAACGTGAAAATTAAGGAGGAGAGAGAAATTCACTAATGTCTGAAACAAGAGGAAAGAAATTCAGTAATGTCTGAAAAATAAGAGGAAAGAAATCTCAGCCATACAATTTGATGAACGGCTCAGATTAAAAGTTTTCAGTTTTTATTTTAACACTTGTTTTTACATGATCCTATATATATATATATATATATATATATATATATATATATATATATATATATATATATATATATATATATATATATATTTATTGTGCAACACGCCCATACAAAAAAAAATTAGTTAATTTATACGTAGTACTAGCTTATTTATCACGCTTGAAAATTGAAATACGGAGTACTTAAGTTACAATAAATAAATTGGATACATAACAATTTGTTTGTATCTCTATAGCATGTACGTTTTATTTAGTAGGGTTACTTCCTTGATTCATAAATACAAAGTAGATACGTAAATTGTTCCACCCCTACTAATAAAGTTAAAATTACATTGTTTTACAATTTAACTATATATATAAACCATAATGATATATCATAATTTAAGGATCATAACTTCGTGTGTTGCCTTCTCAATTCTCATTCATAGTAATAGTGTACATAAAGAAATTAATCACGAATTAAACCATTACTACTCGAAATTTTATTAAGGAAATATAATAATTTTTCCTGACATTTTTTACAATTTATTTTTTACAATTTATAGATGAAACAATCAAACAAAAAAATTGATGAAATGTTAGGAGTATGTATGTTAAACTTACGAGTATATGTTGTGTAAAAAGTGGCAGTTCCAGGAGTAGCAAAAGACAATGAAATTAGACTAGCCATTGTGGTGATAAACGAAATGACAAATGATGATTTGAATGACATTTTTCCTTTGGAAATTTATGTATGTGCTACTATTTTTTGTGAATTGCTAAGATATACATGTACTCCACATATATATCTTAGCAAATAATACAACCACAAAAAGGAATGTGATTTTTAGAAACATTGAATTTCTAATAATTCAGCTAGTTCATTGGCTCAAATAATTCAGTGTTTTTACATAGTACACTATAAATGGTAATTAGTCTTTCAATGGGATACTATTTACTCTCGTATTAAGTGTTTTAAATAAGTCAATATGTTTGAAATTATTGAATGTAATAATTGGTATTTTGAGGATCGATACACTGAATACAGTACACCCGAATTGAGTAACTTAAAAAGAAACTAATATGGACATTTTGTTGATTCGGTTGTAGACATTGTAGGAGTGAAAAAAAAGGTTCATGTGTTTAAACTATTCTCACATATACATCGGTCAATTTGTTCATCGCAAACTCAATCGGTTAACCCCTATTGTGTATTTCTTAATTATTATCGCAAACTAGTGTTTTGAATTTTTTTTTTTTATTCGTATCAATAATACTCCTTCCGTCCCCGAATGTTCATTCGACCCATTTGGCCTAATTTTAGTCCTAAAATGATCGACCTATTTGCAATAAAATACACATCAATTTACAATAATATTTGTGCAAAATTAGCTTTTCCATATAAATTTTTGTTTTTTCATGTACTTTTAATACTTTCTCTCTATACTTTTTTACAAGTCTCGTGTAAATTTAACTTTTGAATACACTTTTACTTCTTTTTATTTAACTTTCTTATTACTCGCGAAATAACCTCAAAAGGGTTGTCAGGTGAGTCAATGCCAAAAATTTAGGTCAACCATGGAAATCCGACTATAAGTATTATTTTATACTCTCTCCGTTTTTAAATACTTGCTCCATTTCTCCATGCGCAAAGTTTTAGGAGAAATTGGAGAAAGTAATAATATATGGAGGTAGTGGGGTAGTTGAGAAAATAAAAAATTATAAATGCAAAAGTAGTGGAAGAACAAGAGGAGAGAGAGTATTATGTTGGGTTCACTAAGTATGAGAAATGAATTAAATATTGTAAAAGCTTTCCATAAAAGGAAATGGAGCAAGTATTTAAAAACGTCCGGAAAAGAAAAGTGGAGAAGTATTTAAAACGGAGGGAGTAACATTTTTACCCCATTTATTTACAACTGTGGCAAAAAAAAATGAGTTTTTTAAGCTATTCCCCTAAGATATTCGAGTTTCTAAGGTGTACCCATGCTTTTTCAAGTTTCTAAGTTGTGCCCCTCAATTCACTACCATTAATGAATGGTATCCTCCTTGGGACTTCCACGTCACCTAAAGTTTTTTTTTTTATGCAAAGGAGGTCCATGCCCAAAACAAATAAAATTAAGAAACAAAGCGAGGAGTAGTAACTCCTAAACAGTCATCCCTAAGAGTCTCACGTATTTCGATTGGGGGGTCATCAAAATACATGGTTCCCTTAGCACGGACTATTCCTACATTAGCCAATCTATCGGCTACTTTATTTCCCTCCCTATAACAATGAAAAATACTAATATTACTACCAAAGGAGCTGATGATGTTTCTGCAAACATTCAACAAGTGGACACATTCTCCACCTAGAAGTTGGTCATTTAGAAGCGCTTTGATGCAAGCTTTGTTGTCCATTTGAATAGTTAGCTTGGTAATGCCTTGTTGTTGTGCTAGTCGAAGTCCCAACTCAAGAGCTAATACCTCGGCTTTGTAGGCATTGCAGCGACCGAAATTTGCAACAAATCCCTTAATGAAATGGCCCCTGCAGTCCCTTAGAACCCCCCTCCATCAGCTAGGCCAGGGGATCCGCGTGCTGCACCATCAGTATTCAAAGCAATCCATCCTATGGGAGGGGCAGTCCAGCAAACAAAAATCTCCTTTTTGGTAGTCCTATGTGTATGAAGTACATCAGTTTCAGCTTCTCCCATAAATGCCTTCCAGGTTTCTTCAATTTTGGCTCTTAAATACCCACCTGTGTCAATTGGTATCTCAGCATTTCTACCAAAAGTTGCAAAGTTTCGCCATTTCCATATCCACCATAAGGATACAGCAAAAGTGGTCGGCCATTTTTCAGAAAAAATTAAGCCCTCGGCTTTGAGGTTGCGAGTTATCCAGCTTTGTAAATCCCCTTGAAAAAAGGATGGATAAAAGGCAGTTCCTCCAACACTTATCCATATATTTCTTGCTATAGGACAGTCACGGAATAAGTGCAGTAGCGTCTCATCCGTGTTATGCCTACATCTTAAGCATCTAGGATCATCAGTGAGATGCCTTAGAAGTTTGTTAGCATTGCATAGCACCCTGTTGTGCATGATGAGCCAGAGAAAGACTCGGATTCTTTGTTGGACTGGGGCAGTCCATGCCAACTCCCACTTGGGGTCCTGAGCAATATGCTCATTATTTTTCATTATAGTCAGAGCATATTTAATTGAGAACCCCCCTGTTTTCGATCCTTTCCAGTAGCGGAGATCACCCAACTCAGAATTTTCAACCACTTTGTGCGCTGCTATAAGTTGAAGGATATTAGATGGGAGTAAATTTGCAAAATTATCCCATTTCCATCCATACCCCTTGCTCCAAGAGTTCTTCGACAGTAGCTCCATCTAACCTTTCAGGAATGATATTGATTGTGAGATCTCGGAGTGGCGTATCTGTTGCCCAACAATGGTCCCAGAAAAGAGTGCGTTTCCACGTCACCTAAAGTTAAATATAAATTTAATAGAAAGATGATAAAAGGTAAGGAAATGGTAGGAGAAAGAAATCTTAGCCACCGCAACCCTAATAATGAAAATTGTAGCCACGAAATCACACTCTCAAATAACTTAAAAACACTAATAAGGGTACATTTTAGTATTGATAATATAAGGAGTTGAAGGACACAGATTAGAAACTTGAAAAAACATGGGTACACTTTGAAAACTCGAATACCTTAACGGTATAGCTTAGAAAAACCCAAAAAAAAAATAAAAATAAAAAATAGGGTCCGAGACTGAATCTGCCAGCAGATCGCATGCCGTGGTGTCCTGCGCTCGGGACTTCCACGTCCCGTCGTCCCCTAAGGCCCTTTTTGGTTTTTGACGAAGAATTTGGAATTGCACCTCAAATTTGGGTATTCTCATTTTGAAACTTAAGTCTAATTTTGGTTGAAAAGCCATTGAATATGATTTGTTGAAACAATTGAATTGAATTAAATGTCGCTTCTCCGCAAGCTCTTCCACTATCGCAAGCCAATTGACGGACTCCTGGAGATATCTCATAGACTGTATGGTACGGATATTGCTTCATCCTTCCATTTCTCGCTCTTCGTCTTTCTCTTTCTTACTGTATTTTTAGTTTTATTTACAATTTTACTCGAATTGGCATCATTATGTTTGTTGTTCTTAGTTTACTGATATTGCTTCATCCTTCTATTATTGGCTTTTTAAGTTAAATTATACTGAAATATATTTCTCGTTGCCTGTATTTTTTTTTATTACTATTTTTTTTAAATAATTATAATTATGAAGCATTGCTTGATTGAAGATGATTAGCAAACAACTGAATTATTGTTTTGCATATCATTTTTTTAAAAAAAAAAAAAAAAAATTTAATCGAGCATCTGAAGTCAAATATGGTATCAATTTAATTTATAATTTAGTTTTTTTTTTTTAGAGAATTGCTCTTTTTAGTGTATATGTTTTATTGTTACCAAAGATTAGGGAGGTCAATGGATTTTTTAATTTTTATATTAATCATGTACTTATTTATATTTTTGTTAATTTTAATTTATTTTTTACAGTGTTTGATTGTTGTTTAACTACCGACTCATGGGAAGAGAAGAGATATAAAGGTTACTTAGCAGGCATAGTGAGTGAGCTACAGGCACAATTTCCAGATGCTGCATTGTTGGTTTTTAATTTCCAGAAGGCAGAGGTGGAGACCTCAACCGCGATATCAAAGATTATGTCGGAATATGATATGACCATAATGGATTATCCAAGGCATTATGAGGGTTGTCCTATCCTTTCAATGGAGTTGATCCACCACTTTTTGCGTTCAACTGAAAGTTGGCTTGCACTAGGGCCACAAAATGTATTGTTGTTGCATTGTGAAAGAGGTGGTTGGCCGGTCCTCGCTTTTATGCTTGCTGCACTTTTGATTTATAGGAAACAATACACCGGGGAGCAGAGAACTTTGGATATGGTTTACAAGCAAGCTCCTCGCGAGCTTTTGCCATTGTTGTCACCTTTGAATCCCATCCCATCGCAGCTTCGATACCTTCAATATATATCAAGGAGAAATGTTGCTTTACAGTGGCCTCCCTTGGATAGGGCATTGACTTTGGATTGTATAATTTTCAGACGTATACCTGATTTCAATGGAGAGGGGGGTTGTCATCCTTTATTTCGGATTTATGGACAAGATCCTCTTGGTGGTGAGGATAGAAGTCCAAAATTATTGTTCTCAACTCGAGAACAGTGCAAAGCTACCCGTACATATAACCAGGTGATTTTCTGCCAATAAATGTAAGACACAACCTTATTCATGCTGTAATTACTACTTTACTAGTCTTCTGGATAATACATCATTTGCAACTTTTTGATTTGATACTAATACATTAGCATTTCATTCTTTTCTCCCTTACATTTCAAGTATGATCTTTGTTTTTGTGGCTTCACTCATTTCATTACATCATCTCGTATGCTTTGTATTTCTGTGTGCTCCCCCCCTCCCCCTCCCCCTCTGCCACCCTTTACCTTTTTTTTTTTTTTTTTTTTTTTTTTTTTTTTTTTTTTTTTTTTTTTTTGTGAATTGGAATACATGTAGTGGTTGTTTTAAGCCGAATAAATGCTTATCCTTCCTATTTTATAGCCATCCCCCGTTTTCGATGTAGGCTCATGTAGCTGTTGAACTTGGCCCTTAACCTTGACTTCTTATTGCCCTTGTCTTTCTGTTGTTTCCTGCTAAGTCTTTAAGTCCAGGACTCCAGATTTCTGTTGTTTGTTTATCCTTGGTGTCATTGTTCCACCTTGCAAAATTGTTTTGTCTTGACATTTAATTCTGTTGATAAGCAATCAGTACATTTGATCTTTTCTTTAGCCTTCTATTTGCATTTTATTTTTACTGAGATCAATAACAATTTGCCTTTGTACATCACTTTTGCCCCCCCCCCTCTTCACTCTATGCCACTGTAAGCCTTATGTAATTAACTATATAAACGGTACAAAAGTGGTTCACAAGATCATAACTTCATAATGGTGATATCCTATACACCTTGCAGTATTAATGGCATGCCAATATTAATGCTTTTTGAATTGTTTCTAATTGGTGTAGGCTGAATCAATGATTGTTAAAATTGATCTAAACTGTAATATCCAAGGCGATGTTGTTCTCGAGTGTACAAGCCTCTATAAGGATATGGAGCATGAAGACATGATGTTCCGTATTATGTTCAACACAGCTTTTATAAGGTCCAACATTTTAATGCTTAATCGAGATGAAATTGATACACCGTGGGACACTAAGGATAAGTTTCCGAAAGATTTTAGTGCAGAGGTTTGTCTGTTAGTGACAATTGTTTAGTTATTTATCTGCTTGGTATAAGCTGATGGATTTTCAATCTGCCTAATGAGAAGATTTTCCCTTCTATCCCTACTGTAATTAGGTTCTGTTTTCAGACATGGATGCATCTGCTTCTATTGTTGCTGCAAATTTGTCGTGCTTTGAGGAAAATGAGGGCCTTCCAATGGAAGCATTTGCTAAAGTTCAGGAGTTTTTTAGTCATGTTGATTGGCTAGAATCGAGTGCTGGTGCTGCTCAAAGTGTGATACAAAAAGTTCCACCACCACACAGTACATCCGAACACTTTGACTTCGCTACTGCTCCAGATGCTGTGAATATCAGTCCAATGTGTAGATCAAGCCATCAGAAGCCAAAGGAAGAGAAGAAATATTACATTCTTTGTAAATCTGAGGACAAGGATGATCAGGTTTTGCTTTGTCAAAAAGTATCGAAGGATTGCAATCTGGCCCAGTTGCTTCAATATCAACCTAGGGAAATTGCTCAAACTGCTGTCTGCCCAGAAACAAGAATGCTTTCAGTCGCATCACAATCATCAGCAATTACTAAGTCATCGCTTACTGCTTCAGGAAGCAAGATTCCGACATTAAGGAGTGGGCCTCTTCCACCTCCTACAACTCTCAAACATCCATCTGTTTATCCTTCACATGAAGATTCTAGCGTTATGGCCGGATGTCTATCAGAATTCTCATCTCCTTCAGAAAATCCTCTAAGAAAGGATCCATGTTTTGAAATGGCAACGTCATCACTTCCATCCCCTCCAAGATCACATGTGAATCCTTCAAGACTAGAAACAACCCTTAAATCTCCTTCTTCGCCAACACTTTCTAGTCCACCACCTCCTCCTCCTCCTCCTCTTGCTGCTGCTGTGCCACTATGTCCTCCAACACTTTCTTTAGATGAAAAGTCAACCGATGATGCTGATGTTTACTTACCACCTCTACCAGATGTTCTTCCCAAAACTTCTGATAAGCTGGAAGAAATTGGACCTCTGCCATCCCAGTCTCTTGCATCACCATATAAAAACAGTGCAGCAAAGTCTAGACCTTCCCCTCCCCCACTTCCTCCCGCATCTTCTTTGAAGGAGAACATTGGAAAATCTGTACCTCCCCCAGCCCCACTTCCACCTCAAAAGTCGGGCTCTTCAAGGTCATTTCCGGCACCCCCGACACCTCCACCTCCTCCTCCTCCTCGTGGTCTCGGACTTCAATCCCAGCAACCACAAGTTTCTCCATCTGTTCCTTGTGCGCCTCCACTACCTGTTGGTCTAAATAATGGAGCTTCAAAGTTGGGTACTATTCCAGATCCAACAGTGCCTTTAAGCTCTCTGAATATGAAGGGACGGAGTATTTCACGTTCTTTGGTACCAAAAAATTCCCAAACAAGTAAATTAAAGCCATTGCACTGGTTGAAGCTGACTAAAGCAGTGCAAGGAAGTCTTTGGTCGGAAACTCAAAAGTCTGGAGAGACCTCAATGTATGTTGCTTGGAAAGGAATGTGGTGTAGGGCCTGTAGTTTCTGAAATATATCATATCTCACAATTGCCATTTTATGTTTTTATCATTTTAGTGCTCCAGAAATTGACATGTCAGAACTGGAGAATCTCTTCTCTGCTTCAGTACCAAATTCAAATCAAGGAACTACCATTGGAAAGTCTAAGTGTGGTCTTGGAACTCCCAAATCTGATATCGTGCAGCTGGTTAGAGTTTAAACTGTTTATGTTTTTGGTTAACAAGGTACTTGTGCTAGACATGATATTTTTCAATTGACTGGATGTGTCCACTCCCTAATTTTTTCTGTACATTTCTTTAACTTTCTCATTAATCTTTATTTGGTTCCTTTAATTCAACTCTCTATTTTCATTGTTTCAGTTTTTTGTGAAAGGTTCCTCACGACGATTTAGGTTAGAAGACTCCAGACCATTTTGGGAGTAATACATTGTTATTGTTATTGTTGAATTGATGTGTCTGCTAATGGATACTTGAGGATGCATATTGGTGTGAATAATGGGAGATTCTTAGGCTTTAAACTCTTCACCTTATTTTTGTTTGTTTATTGCCACATACATTTAATTTCATATTTATAGCAACTATGAAAATTAGGTGATTGAAAAATACACATTTAAGGAGGCGAATCTACCAAGATTCTACTTGATGGAGTAATGTTTTTCTTATACATTGACGTACATTTAAGGTCAAAGTTTAGTCAAATTAGACAATTAGATTAGACCATATCAAACCAAAAAAAAAATCAGATCAACTAAACTAGATTTTAGAAATTTCAAACTAGAATTCCTTATTTTAGGTGAAGTAAACAAAGCCTTAATGCTCTTGGTTAAACTGAATCAGTTTTTTTCTCCATCTTCTAGTTTGGTGTAACTATGCTGGATTAACTTTAAAGTTTCCCGCAACAGCCAAATAGTTCTGCTGGCAGAGACAAAGAATGATTAGGTAATTGGTTACTTAGTAAGAAACATAATTCTCTACCCAAAAAAGAATTTAAAAATGATGGCAGAAAATATCTGTCAGCAGGGGAAAAGGAAACGGAAGACAAGGAACACTTGGGAAGCTCTTTCTTGGTTTGGTGTTTTGTCTAAGCTTCCAAGAAGATCAAGAACCTGTCCATTGTAGCTGAAGTGTTGGTACATGACTAGCAACTCCAAGAAATCTGTTTAACCCCTATTCACTACTATAACTGAATTGGTTATTTTTTATTTGCGTAGCCTTTGAGTTAGTAGGAGTAGGTTTGCTTCTGAACCTATTATTCAATTATATTGATTCTGAGTAATTGTAATGGTTGTCGATAATTTTGTCTAAGTAAGGTAAGTCAAGTGACCATTAGAAGGATGATCTTCTTTATATCTGATAGGAAATAAGCTGTTTTCTTTCACTCATCTAATTATCTTCCCTCTGTGATATGCTTTTTGATTCATGGATTCATTGTTTTATTTTTATGTGTGGTATACTGTGATTGTTTGATGATTATTCATTGTGCAGCATTCTTTCAAGCTTTGACTGCTGTAGATCTTTGTGATTTTCAGCATTAGCTGTAAAACGCATGCCCCAATTTTGGGTTCACACTTTTTAGATGTTTACATAATTCACATGCAATTTATATATGATTTATCAATACTAAATGTTCACTATAATTTTTCCCTCTTTTTCACCAGACTTATCCCCAAGAGAGGGGGTCGATTGCAAGAGCCATCATGTTTATGGATGGGAGTAGGGATGGCAATTTAAACCGAGTTCGATTCGAATCCGATCCGATCCGAAGGATAAAATCCGATTCGAATCCGTTTAAAATTAGTCCGAATCCGATAAAATAGATCCGAATCCGAATAGGAGGTGGATCGGACTTGGACCCTACGCAAAGTCCGACGGAGTCCGATCCGAGTCCGAATCCAAGAGTATAAGCATATGCTCTATAACTTGGGACAATTATTTGCTTGTTTTGTAGCAAAATTTTGTTATGTAACTTAATTTATAATTTAAATATGTTATGTTTATACTTTAATTAGTATGACAATGCAAGCAATTATAGGTATATGACATTACAAAAATTAAAAATAAAAAAAAAATATTCGGATCATTTCGGAGGTTCGAATAAACGGACCGGATTCGGATCCGAAAATTACAAGTCGGATCGGATTCGGACTCGGATTTTTCGGACTCGGATTCGGATCCGAGTCCAGGGTCCGTTTACTAAACGGATCGGATTCGGATTTAGCCACATCCGACCCGAATCCGATCCGTTGCCATTCCTAGATGGGACATGTTTTTACACCTTTTAGTTGGCTTTTCTTTTCGTTTATTTTTTTAAAAAATATTTTATTTTTGTTTCTGTTCTTTTTTATGGCTTACTCTTTCACTATTTTCAGATATTTACAAATTACAATTTCATGTATACTTGTTCGATAGGAAACAACCTTTTCCTTCCTTGATTGTCACTACCTGTACTTATATTTGATTGTCTCTTACAGGTTGATCATCGGCGAGCTTATAATTGTGAGATCATGCTCTCAAAAGTCAAAGTTCCATTAAAAGAACTGACGGTATGCTGATCTATTTCAAATGTTCAACTAATACATTTGGTCTGTTGAACCCCTACCAAATATGTCCAATTGTCATCTTGTATGCATACGATGTCTCTTGCATTACTAAAGAATGCCCGCCCTAGAAAATATTTGAGTCGATTTGATTTATTACATAAAAAAATTGCATTATTCAATTCAATTTGTTCCTAACTCTGAATCCTGAAAAGAAGTTACATAATAACCCTATTTATAAATTTTGCATTAGGAAGGAGAAACTGATCTTTTGTACCAAGAAAATTATCTTTTTATATTATTATTGTTTTAATATTAAATACCTAATTTTGATTCATAGTATTTTAAAATGGTCAAATTCACTTAAAGTATTTTTCAAGGTTTTGGAGATACATTGAGGAGTTGAGCTTGAAGTAGTGAAGCTGGAGTTGTGTTCAAATATGCTAAAAATTCTTTTGATCATAAAATTTTTGTTAATTCTCTTGATCTTTTGTGTTTTATAGATCTCGATAATCTTTGTAGATGCACTATGGCTTATTATTAATGATTTTTTTAAATCGTAAACAAAAAACAAAGAATTTAATTAATGGTGCATTATTTTCAGTTTTTGTTTAATATCATCTACCTGATAATGTTGTTGAACTTATGTATGGTCCAATTTCACATAAAATATGTTTGACCTTATAGGCTTATATCCTTTCTCTAGAAGATTCTTCTTTGGACATTGATCAAGTTGAGAACCTCATAAAGTTTTGCCCGACCAAAGAGGATATGGAGCTACTTAAGGTCGGTCTTTTGCAACTCTTATCAAACATCTGTAATGAAAAGTTTAAAAATTGTGTGTGTTATTGTATTATGGTCTCACAAGGATTAATAACTTCAATGGGATATATCAGGTCATCATTTTTTTTTCTTGTAATTTCACCTTTAATTTATATCAAATATCATAAAATGCTAACAAGATTTATTTTGGCTAATGTACAAAGGGATACAAAGGACAGGTTGATAAGCTTGGGAAGTGTGAACAGGTATGCTAGTTTTCTTTAAGGCTATTTCTCTTTGTTGTTGGAGCCCAACTAATTCAAAAGCCGGCAATTATTCATGGGTTGCATATAGTGCTTTTGTCGTATTGATGTCTAAATTCATATTTTGTTTGGGTTTATTTGTTAAGAGGTTTGGACTATGTTTATACATCCTGATGATAAATAATCTAGTCTTCATGATTCATATGATTAACTTCCCAGTCTTCCCACCAAAAAATTTATCTTGGTATTTTTTATATTGGTTGGTTCATTTGGCTTTTTTACCCAACTTGTAAGTGAAAAACTGACCCAACTTGAATAACAAGAAAACAGAGCACAAGAAAACAGACCAATATGTGATCTGTGCCGAACTAAATAACTCATCACATGGTTATAAAGCCTGATTTAAGTTTTAGTTGTTTATGTGCTCATTAGACACCCTTTGGTGAAGCAAGCAAAAGTTATCTAGAAAGCAGAAGCTGTTAGCCTGTTAAGCCATGTGTTTACCTATCATGATGTTGGCTGTTAGGCTACATGAATAAGTCAACTTACAAGAAAAAAGCAATTACGGAGTAGCAGGTACCCATATATGCAAACTCCATATAAGAGCTAGATACTACTTGTATTCTCTATCTATAAACTAGGTCATAATATCATGATCAGGGTTTATATCTTGTAGTCTTATCTACAATATATTAGTATTATTATAATACTCCTTGTGACACTTATTATGACACGTAACTTTAGAGCCTCTGTCTGAGTAAAAAAATATTGGAAACGAGAGCTTTATTGCCTCCACAATTTCATCTAATGCAGTTTCCTTCGAAGAGGTAATTGTAAGGGTCTTTCTCAAATAACTTTTGTCTATTTAGTGTGTGAGGTTGCATATAGCTGGAGATTCTGGACCACCAAGACCTCTTCCCAACAGGACTTATGCGAGGTTTTTGACTTTTTGTTGTTTAATGATTACCATTTCATGACAGCTATTATTAGAATTAATGCGAGTGCCAAGAGTGGAGGCTAAGCTAAGAGTTTTCGCATTTAAGATGCAGTTTAGTAATCAGGTAAGTGTGTATACTCCTGGCTTTAAAAACTATCTTTACTGCACAATTTTGATTACTGTTTTCTGATTTAGGCTTCTGATCTTAGGAAGAGCCTCAACGTCGTGAATTCTGCTGCAGATCAGGCAAGTAATTACTAATTAATTAAGTCTGTGTTTTTTACTTTTTCACTATAATTTTTTTTTTATAATCCTTGACTGTAGGTTGGCTTTAATTTTATATTCCCCCTTATTCCGATGCTGTGATATATGGCTATGTATCACCAATTCACCACTATTTTATCACTATCTTAGTCATGCAACAATTTTTGTTCTCCAGATCAGAAGTTCGATGAAACTCAAACGAATTATGCAAACAGTTCTATCACTGGGAAATGCATTAAACCAGGGTACAGCTAGGGGTAAGTTGTATCCGATTCCCATTGATTTATGCATGCAAGTGATGCAAAATTAATTTTTAGTGTCAAACCATATAGGATTTTTTAAAGGAAATGCCCTTTCCCTGAAATCCTGAATCGATCCTCGCTGGTGATTTTTTATAATAATTTTGATTGCTAGGAAGTCCCCTAGCGCCCTTGTGGATGATGTTTCAGTACTATGGTCAAAGGAAATTTTGAGAGGCTATGTAAAAATTAAATACCAATAGTGACTTTCCACAAATCACAAATTGAATATTGAGTTTGAATTTTGGAAGAAAAAAATCACTGAATTTGAAAATTTAGGTCGAATTGTGTACATCTTAAGCTTGGTTTGCCATAAAGGTAGTAGAAATTGATGGTCATAGATATAAATGCAATATTGGGGATTATTGAGATGCTATTTTTGGAATGATCATTTTGATAATTTGCCATTAAGGCCTGTTTTTATTTCCTAGCCAATCATTGTTCCTTTTTGGTTTGTAGAATTTCGTGAATGTATAAATTTAATCTCATGGATTCAATTGCCAATAGTTCCTATGTTTTTTTTTTCTTCCTATTCAAGCTCTGAAGTGGATTTTGAAAACATGTAAACATGTGGAAAAATGTTCTTTATTTCTAAAAGAGAATTCCTTTTAGATGTTATCCTCCACTTGTATCCATCCATTAAAACAGAGTTTTTCTATGAGGAGTGGTGACCCTGACTTCTGGTTTCCAATGGTGCTGTTGTGATAATGAATGTGTATTGGGGCTGTTAGAAATAGCTCACAAGTATTGGTGGGCTATTATGTTTTCATGCAAGAGCTTGTTTCTTGAATGCTTGATCTCCAATCCTCTAATTTTGCAGAGAAGATAGTACTTGAAGCCAGTAGTGTACAAGAGATTTTTCTAGTGTTAAATACATAAATTATTGCAGTAAAAGTAAATGGGCATGGTTTTAGAGGAGTATCTGAATAAGTATTAATGGTGTCACTTTTTCCTGGGTGCATGGATAAAAATGGGGTCTCTTTTGGCTGTGATGAAATGTTGATCAGAGTTTTTCATTTCAAGTATTACATAATTGTTTCATATGCCCTTGTCTTTCACCTAGAAATGGCATTTACATCAAAGTTATTTAGTTTCAAAACATTGATTTGATAATTTTTTTTAATGCTAGGTTCTGCTGTTGGTTTTCGGTTTGATAGCCTGCTGAAGCTCACCGAAACCCGTGCACGTAATAACAAGATGACTCTAATGCACTATCTTTGCAAGGTATAGGAAAATGTCTGGTTTCATAAGAAATGATTTGCTGAAGTATTTTGTTAAAATCACTTACATACAAAATGCAATGCTCAAAGCTATGTTACTCGGACTCTTTCATTTACCTCACGTGTCCGTGTCGACACGACTCGTGTTGGACACCGACACCGACACTTGGACACTTCATTTTTAACTAAAAACACAACTTTTTTCAAGAAAATGGGCGAGTCCGATGCTTGGACACCCGTGTCTAATTTGACACTTCATCCGAGTCCAAGTAACATAGGCTCAAAGTTTAAAACAAAATGATAGCATAGAAAAACAAAGATATGTCCCCTTCAGTTCCACAAGTACTTTTCCTTGCTTTGGCAGTGTTCCCTTTTAAAAACAATAAGATTACAGTAAATATTTGATATATCTATATCTATCACGGAGCCATAAATGATTTCATTTATGATCATAGAAAAAGTTATTATGTGGCCATATTAGAAAGCCCATATTAAGAGCTAGTGCCAGTCTCACATCTGTCCATTCTTGGTGTAATACTTATCACTTTATCAGTCCATTGGCTTCATTCATGTAATAATTAGGAGTCCTAGATCCATGTGGACAGAGTAGACTTTGAAACAGTGGGATTTGCTTTGGTTAATCTTCAATCCAAGACCAGGTAAAGAATGAAGCCCAATGCTAAGTCGGTATCCCTGATTCAAAAAAGTCACTCGTTAAAAAGTGCCTCCAGCTTAGTTACAACATCCTTTTCTACTGAACCTAAAATATTTAATTCTGCCAATATTTTATTCGAGTGTTAGTTTTGGTGGTACATGCTAAGGCAGTTCCCTTCAACTTATACAGAAAAAGTTTAATCCTACAAATGTGATTTCGATCCTTTCAGTGAAGCTAAAAGTCCTTTTCCGCTTTTTTCAGCTTAATTTGTCCTTGCCCAGAAAAATTACGTAGTAGATAAAGATTGGTTCAGAATAGGAGGCCCCTTGCCTGCTCATCATAATGAGCCACAGCCATGCAGCACACCTGTATGATAGTAGAGACTATCCCATTAAGGATATGTTTCCTTGTTCATATTTCAGGGGCTGGAAAGGTTTTGTGCTCAATTTGGGTGATTAGCTTATTGAATTTTTCCAAGGTTCCTTTCTAGTTCACAATTTGGGTAATTAGCTTATTGAATTTTTCCAAGGTTCCTTTCTAGTTCAGTTCATTTCAGAGTGCCAGAGCCCATAATCCCAGTGGTCATCAGCTAACGTCTAATAGCAAGAAAAGTTAAAGTATTAGAAACCAACACGCTTTTTCTCTGGGTCTTGGGGCCCTATGTCGTCATTCCCTTTGCTTATACTCAAGCTGCATGGAATTGATTTGTATTTGTACTTGAGAGCTTCTAGCATGATTGCAGTTTTTGCAAATAAAAATTTATTCAAGGACTTGATTTCTTGTTTATGTCTGTACTGCATGGATAAAATGTTATGTATGCACCAAAATGTATAATTAATTTAATCATATGCAATATTAAGTTTCTTTTGTTCTTTTAGGGGTAACTAAATGCCACCATGAATTTAATCATGACGCCATATTAAATGATCAAAACGCCTTTATTTAATTCCAATCTCTCCTATACTCTCTTAGCCTTGTTTCTCTCTTCAGTGTAGCCCCCCCCCCCTTTTTCTCTCTCTCTCTCCACCCCATTAGCCACCACCTTGTGACCAATATTCACCGAAGCCCACTGCCACCAATTTATCAATTAAAACGATTTGTCAATATTTGTAAATTTGAACACGAATTATGAGAATTCCGAGTTAATATTTATTTGCCATAATATAGGTGACTGTGTTATGCGCCTTTGCCATTGTGCTGGCACCTTGTTTACATGTTTTTTATCATGGTATATTGTTATAGGCGCATAAGACATACAGGATACATCTATACTATGGTGTAGTTGCAAAAACCAACTGCCTATCTTATTTTTTGTAAAATAAAACAATTTAACTCATTCAACGACATGGAAGATACCTCCTCAGCCTCCAAGGTGTATGCAGACTGTTGCTTTCAGAATTGGTCCCACCTGATTGTCGGACTCTTGATGATCGGAAATTTGGTGGCAGTTGTTATTGGGTGGTGACGAGCGTGGAAAAGAGTGAAAAAGTTTAAGAGGGTTTTTCAGTCTTTATGTATGGCATCATGAAGGTTTTTTTAAAAAAAATATTGTGTTTTTATGTTGTGATTGAATGATCTGTTGTAATATGTGACTGAGGTAGCATCTGTGGTGTACAGGTGTTTTACTTGACATTAATGTGTTAGTTGCTATAAGATCCTTTGGTTTTGTGTTAAGTACTTCTAAGCCCAATATTTTTCCTTTATTTTGCTGATGGTTCATAGGTGATCTCTGAAAAACTTCCAGAGCTCCTAGATTTCTCAAAGGATTTTGCTAGCATTGAACCAGCTACAAAGGTACACCTCTCAGTTTCCATTGGCAGAATCTGTTGTTGCACTGGTTCTGATAAAATAAAACCTCCAATCAGATCCAACAAAAATTTTTGGCAGAGGAGATGCAAGCAGTTAACAAAGGGCTGGAAAAGGTTGTGCAGGAATTGTCCATGTCGGAGAATGATGGGCCCATCTCAGATGCATTTCGGAAGGTAGTAAAATTAAAGTTTTTAATTCATCCCCCATTGTTTAGCTGTATCAAAAAAAAAAATATTGTACATAATTGTGATATTCTTGATTAATATCATCAGATGCAGCTCTTCCTATTGCTTAGCAAAATATAGGAAAACATAATTTTGTTAATACACCACGGATTAAAGGTGTGTGGTTAATATGTCACTGTGGAATAGTGACTAGTCAACTACCCCATGATACTCTCTCTACAATTATTGCTGTGTATTTGTTGAACCTTGTTTTCCTAATGGTCTGGAAGAAAAGACCTTTCTAATGTTCTCATCAGAGCCTATTACACACATTCATATCATTAATGATGTTACTAGTTATTTTTTTTTTTTTTCCAAAAAATCTCAACTGGTTTGTAAGTGTGATAATTGCCCTTTAACACAGGGTCTTTTATTGGTTGAAACTGCAACTTAGAGCACTTAAATTATAGGGAAATTCTAGATGGTTTGTGATTTATAAAAATCTCTTTTGGAAATTCACAAACTGGAGGTCATCATCTAGAATTTTTCTAAATTATATGGAACAAACAATAGGAACCTATCATCCATAGCATTATAGTTTTTGTCTCTATTATGGGTTAAGATATTAATGTGGGTAATTCCTTTGGAATTTTTCTAAAATGCTTCACCTATAATTTTCAGCAGACTTGTGATCAGAATACTTTCCAGAAAGAAGGAAATAATTTTGGAAAATAACTCATAGAATTAATCAAAATTGAATCTGTACTTGATATACTTTTATAAGGCTAGTGGTAAGAGTGTCGATTCACATAATGTCACTCCCTTTCATTTTAGGTGCCTCCAATTGTACTTTCTTTTAAATTTTCAGAATCTCAAGGAGTTTCTCTATATTGCTGAGGCAGAGGTGCGCTCGCTGGCATCACTTTACTCTCGTGTTGTACGTCTAAAGCCTTGTGCTTTCTTTCATTGTTGATGTTTCTGTCTATAAGCTTAAATTGTTGACTCACACAATCAATGGTATGCAGGGTAGAAATGTTGACACTTTAATAGTGTACTTTGGGGAAGATCCAGCTTGTTGCCCATTTGAGCAAGGTATTGTCTTCTTCCAATGAATCTAGTTGCATCCTTATTCGGTAGAATTAGGAAGCAATGTGGAAAAATAATTGAAGAGATAATAATAGTACTACCTCCGTTACAGGTTATGTGCAACGATTTGACATAAAGCAGAGAGGAAAAATGTCTAATCGTTGCACATAATCTGTAACGGAGGTAGTAATTATTTGCTTCATGTTTATGGGTAAAGTTTTGATCTTGTAATTTTCCTCATATAATTTCTAAAAGAATGTGAACAAATTGAAATTACAACCCTATGGTTTAATAATGGCTTGACTTCTATAGTTATATTCTCGGTGGGGAAATAATTTTTGTGTACGAAGGTGCCAACAAGTCGGATGTTCATTAATGATGCTAGAGTGACATGCCTGCTTTTTGTGTTTGTGTGTGTTTTTGGGGGAGGGGGGGTATTCATCTAACTACACACTTGGTAAGCGGTCATAATTAATGGGAATGAATATAGCTTAGATTTGTATGTAATTTTGTTAGGAAATCTTGTGTTCATTACCAGGCATTTAACTACACCGTCTACACATTTAGATGAATGGATATAGATTGTGCGTGTGTTTTTTGTGGGGGAGGGGGGTGGGGGGAGCATGCATCTAATTACACGTTTTGTAAGCGGTCATAATTATTGGGAGTGAATATAGAATTATATGCAACTATGTTAGGAAATCCGAATCTTATGTTCATTACCTTATTATTGAAACTCTACCTCCAATTCTCCAAACATTTGTTTTTGTTCATAAACTTCATAACACAGAGTACCACCTTTTTAATGGTAATGATATTTTGTGAAGAAAAAGAGGTATTTAAGGAAGGTAACAGTCTAACATTACCATGGGTACTAGGTATTGAGACTTAAAAAATCATATTAAATCATAATATTACTAACTATCAAACAGGCCATAACCACTATACAACTTTCTTTGTGTTGCATATTGACATATATGTAAAGTGATCTATCTGGTTCACTTCTGTCATGTTTTATTGTAGTTGTCACAACTCTGCTCAATTTCACCAGAATGTTCAACCGAGCACATGAGGAGAACTGCAAGCAACTTGAACTTGAGAAAAGAAAACTGAAAGATGTAGAAACTTAGTTTAGGACTCAACGGAAATTAATAATTAATTCTGACCCTTCCAATAATGATTAAAAAAATGACTCAAGTGAATTAGATGTAGAAACTTAGTTTAGGACTCAATGTGAGTGGTTGTAGCAAAAATTGTAAGGTATTTTCTTTAGGGGGGTGAGTACGAAGCCTCGGTTCAGCAGCTACTCATAGGGTTGAGTTTGTCACGAGAAGGTTATCACCTGTTCATTTGCCGCCACCGGTTCTAGCTTTTGGAATCCTTGGTAAGAACCCAATGTTGTATGGTGCTTTCAAAGACCTCTGCTTTGTTATTTCTGTTTCACTGTATTATAGTACTCAAAATATCAATATGTCACTACTTGTGTAGTTAGGCAATGATATGTGAGTATTAATGAAATGAATTTAAGGTGTAGGAAATCTGTATATTCTTTTATTATAGAAGCTCTGTATAGGAATAACGAAACTAATTTTATTTTATTTTATTTTTTTTTTGTACACTTTACATTTTTGTTTTTCTTTGTTCATAGAAAATTATTGGGACCTCATATCATTAAAGATATATTAATAATAAGAAAGTGATATTTGGGGATGGAAATGCTACTCTGAAAATTTTGCCCAAAAATAATAATTATAAAATTAAATTAAATTAAATATTTTTCTATAGGTAGTTCCAAGATCCACTTAGTAAGTAATTGGTTTAATACATTATTCCGCATCTAGACTTCATAAACATAAAGTGTGCTTTCTCTCTCTTAAATAGACATGTTCTCTTCTCTATCCTCCAAAACAACCCTTGTCCAAGGCCGTGTAATGACGGATAATATTCTTCTAAGCCATGAACTGATGGAGAAAATCAATGGCTCAAAAACGGGCACCAATTGGCTTGCTGCGATAAAAATTGATATGAGCAAAGCTTATGATAGAATCCACTGGAGTTTTCTTCTGCAGGTCTTACAAGCCTATGGGTTTCCGGCTCGCTGGTTACAGATGATTCATCAATGCCTCGCCACGGTTACTTACAAATCCTTGATTAACGGTACAACCTCGGACACCTTTAAGCCACAATGTGGCCTTCGCCAAGGTGATCCTCTCTCTCCGTACCTTTTCCTATTCTGCATGGATATTTTCTCTCATATGCTGCATTTGGGCCAGGACTTGAAGCTTTTTCAGGGAATCAAGCTCTCTCGTACAAGTCCTACAATTTCCCATCTATTCTTTGCGGATGATGCCCTTATCTTTTTTCGGTCGTCAACTGTTTCCTGTACGAATATCATGCGGATTATTCAAAGGTTTACCAACATTTCGGGAGAAGAGCTAAACCTGTCAAAATCTTTGATCAAGTTCAGCCCGAACATTGGCTCGCCTGCTCAGATCGGGTTCAAGTCTATATTCCAAATGAAACATGTTCAGGTGTTCGATCATCACCTGGGGGCTCCTATTGACTTCGTTGGGAAGAAGAAAGATCACTTCCAATTCATCATCGACAAAATTATTGGAAGAATCCATTGTTTAAATGATACTCGCTTGTCACAATCGCAGAAGTTAATTATCATTAACTCAATCCTTGTTGCAATGGCTTCCCATGTGCTAGCATGCTATGACCTGCCAATCTCGGTTGGGGAAAATTGACTCCTTGCTTATGCGTTTCTTCAGGGCGCACTCGGAAAACGAAGGCATGCATTGGGTTAATAAGGATACCATGCACCTTCCTCGTGGGATAGGTGGCTTGGGCATTCGCTGTTTGTCCTCCTTAAATAAGGCGTTGTTAATGAAACAGGTTTGGAGACTCTTTTCCAACCCGCAGCTGCAAGTCTCTAAAGTTTTTGGGGCTCGTGCAACCTTTCTTTCCAACAGCTCTAGTTCTCGACCCCGTTATTTTGGGCGACATTCCTATGGTCTTCGAGGGTTACTAAAGGTGGACACCCTTCTCAAACAAGGTTGCAGCTGGAAAATTGGAAACGGCCAGTTCACTCTAGCTGGTTCAGCTAAGTGGGTCAATGGGTGCATCCCGGAGTTCAAACCCGGAATTTCGGAGCCATCTTTAGCCCCTCATACTGTCAGCTTTTTCATCAATCATCAGGCAAAGGGGTAGGATACTACCAAAGTTGTCAACTCGTTTATCCCTGCGGATGCTTCTACTATCCTGGCAATGGAGGCCCCTGATACAACTCAAGATGATCTCTGTTACTGGGCGGGTACTCCTTTTGGAAAATACTCGATTAAAACTGGTTATGCTATGCTTCAACAACAGCTTCCCCCGGCTGCCATTCCTCCTCCTACGGACTCTTTCTGGAAGATTCTCTGGTCTCTCCAGTTGCATTCTAAATAGAAGCTGTTGCATCGCGCTCTTGCGGTCAAGGTGGAACTTCATCACAGAGGGGTTCCGATTCAAGACGTTTTTTGTGACCTCTGTAGTACGGAACCAGAGGATTTACAACACCTTTTCAGAATGTGCTGAAATGTGCGTTCGGTGTGGAGGGGTGGATGCCTTGGCATTCGCTCAGAATTCAATGGAGACCTTTCTCTCTCAGATTGGATCCAAGATTATATCGGACTTTTTATCAGTCAGGATGGACCATCAAGTGCTCGCTTGGGTACCTTTGTCGGTACGCTTTGGACCTTGTGGTTATGTCGAAACTCCAGAATCTTTAGGGATTCTTCGGCGTCGCGACCTTTTGATTCTCTGTTTAGGGAGGTCATGGAGAATCATTCAATCTTTGTCAACTCAAATAGTAATTCTGTTAGCCCGGTGGCAGACGGTTGTGCCTCTTCTCCGCCTGGCTTTCACATTGCTCAGCTTGGCCTGGAGCCCCATGGGAGTTCTTTACTTTCTCTTCAAATAGATGGTTCTTGGTTCAAAGATTCTCAACGAGCTGGAATGGGCTGGTGTATGGATAACGATGACCCACTGGATGAGCGAATCTCCGGTGGGAGTAACTACGGTGTTTGTTCCTCTCCTTTACATGCGGAGGCTGTGGCATGCTTGTATGGGCTTCAATGGGCTTTTGATTGCGGGTTTCACTCTATTACTGTTTTGACTGATTCTTATAATCTGGTCTCCTTGCTTCGCGGACAGGGCCAGGGCAGTGTCGATTATATTTGGCTTATTCGGAGAATTTTACAGCTTGGCTCACGCTTCCAGGTTTGTAGTATTAATAAGGTGGATCGTTAGCGTGTCTACAGGGCTCATCTTATAGCAGGAGAAGCAGTGGTTCACTCTATTTGCTTTAATATTAATATGTAGTTGTTTGTATCCTTTGTAAATAAAAAATTAAAAAAAAAAAAAAAAAAAAAAAAAACAACCCTCCCCTCTTGGAAACCTAGAAGCTCGTGCCAAAAAAAAAAAAAACTAATTTGGGCTAGAGTACCTCCCAAAGTATTACTTTTGACATTCTTTTTTATTATTTACATGGTGAATTTAAATGTCACCAATATGTAATTTTTTGAAAACCATCAATATGTATGTATTTATTATGATATAGTATAAGTTAAAAATTCTAAAAAGTCATGCTTTGTATATAGAAAATGATATAATTTTTAATGTTTATAACTAGGGCTTGTTCATATTTACTGAGTTGAAATGAATTGAACTGAACTGAGCTGAAATGAATATTGTATAAGAGAAGGAAATTAGAAACTGAACTGAAATGATTGGAGTTGAATTGAACTGAATTAAAATTAAGCTGAAGTGACAAGCCCTTAGTGTATGATTAGAGTGATACTTCAAATGTTACCTTTGAGGGTTTTATTTTTTTATTTTATTGTTTTATTAAAGAGCTTGAAAGAGAATCCTGCATTAATTATATGCGGCATAGAGAATCATGTGCATCCAAGTGGAACTAAGTTTTTTAAAGGAGTAATAAAAGTTAGGTGTAATCCTTGGCTTTGCATGTGATCCGGTGAGATTGGTAAGGTTATTTTTTCCCCAAAAGGTGAGCAGCACCTTCTGCTTTCATTGACGCTCTAGATATCTAGTAACTAATACTAACCTACCGTATAATTTTATTATTATCTTTACTCTGTATAATTTTCTAAATCTCTCAACAACGTGTTAAAAGAAATGACAGAAGACAGAGGGTATCAAAATTCAATGATAACTATCATTTGCCAGAAATCCCTTTTTTAATTGTAATTTTTAACAGCAGTTGGTTAGAGTAGTGACATCTAGAACTATAATTGTTTTTTTTGGGATCTTGCTAACAAGCAGTCCCTAAGCGTTAGATAAGGAAGTACTTGTAATATATTACTTAAAACAGTATTAAGCTTAAAATGCATGACAAAATCACAAGTCAATCGGTATAATTAATATCTAACGCCTCGGGAGCACTAGTTAGCTTTTACTTTTTCTTTTTTAACAAAAGAAAACAGAGAGAAAAGGAAGCCGATTTCAGACAGCAAGACAGGACATGAATTGCAACGTAGTACTCCGTAAGTGATGATGGTTTGATATGAGAGTAAGAGAGGAGGGAATCCCGAGGTTTTTGTTTGGTTTCAACATAATAAAATGAAGCAGCCAAATAGAGTACACGTATACACAGTCCAAGTGTGGAACTGGATACTCTACTCAGTCTACTGGTGTGCATTGTGAGGTTATCAAAGTTTGAAAAATGGAAGAAAGTGGTAAGACAAAGATGACACCAACAGCGAGAAGAACAGCTACTACTAGAATTGATATGGGCCGAGTCAAGGTTGGCCGTGCTACTGTCAATGGCGTCAATCAACCAGGAATGAGTCCGAAGCCCCTGGGGGCAAAGCGAAAAGTCTGGAATTCAACTTCCACTACTGCAGTCGTCATTGCGAAACAGCAGCAGCAGCAGCGGCACCAGCAGCAGGGACTAGAGATCAGTCCCATTTCTGATCCTACAAGTGCTGTTTCTAATTCCAATCACGATATTAGATCTCCGACTCAGGTGCTCAAGAAGACGAGATCTGAACCACTCAAGGAGGTCAGCTCAACCAATGAGACTCAATTGATCAAGGGTAATTCCGAGAATTGGGATCGTATCACCAACTCCAACTCTCCCAATCGAAGCCCCACAAGCAATAATGTAGCAGCTCATTCTTCCAACATGAACCCCAAATTGACCCTTTGTGATTCAGATCAACATGATCTGCTAGATAATAATGTAAACGATTCCGATAATACCCAAGATCAGGATGTTATGACTACCTTTGTAAATACTTGTGGTACAGAGGAGGTGAAGATGGAGGCGGTTCAAGTAAGTCCCAAAGAAAAGATAATCAATACTAGTAGTGATCATGTGGATGATCATAAACTTGATGTTAAACACGAAGAAAAGAATGAGCTTGTTGACAGTAGTCATGACAAACATTCAGAAACACATGATCAAGGCAGTAGTGATGATAAACTGATTCAACTTGATCTTTCTAAGAAAAGCCCCCTGAAAAACAAGACTAAGAAGGAGCTAAGTCCATCTGCTACCAACAGCAGTGTAGGCCTTAGTACAGGCGCTAAGTCAATTCCAAGCCCCCACCCTTCAACCACGACTCCAACATCGACTCCAACTTCAACAACAGCCTGCTGCAAACCCCTTTCACCCCGATCAAAATCGACTCTCAGTGCCCCAACTTCAACTACTACGCGTAAGCACTTACTACAGATCTTTGCACTACTACTACTACTACATGATTTATTTGCATAACTTGCAGATATTATAACTGATTTTGTTTGATACCTTTTTTACAAAAAAAAAGTTTTTTCCTAATCTTGTTATAGCAACCATGTATATATATGTGACTCTTTCCCTTGCTAATACTTGCTACTTTCACCTGCTTTTTCAGGAGAGGACTTAAATGAATATGATACTTCCACAATCCCTGAAACACATAGCAAGCTTCAGACTTTAGGTAAGTTTGCAATTGTGCATTAAATAACTTTGTTTGTATCAACTACTTGTATGTATAGTGTATTATCAAACGCCTATTCTTGAACATCCAATGTATTGTCCCCCCCAGTGGATTTGGTAATGTGGAGAGATGTAGCCAAATCAGCATTCATTTTTGGCTTCGGAACCTTCATTATAATCTCATCCTCCTATGCAAAAGACTTCAATTTCAGGTTAACATTCCTATTGTAATATTTATCTCTGTTCCTGAAATGTAGAAGTTTTGGTAATAAACTAATAATGCTGAAAATTTTCCATTTTGTTGCAACTGCAGCCTCATTTCAGCTGGCTCCTATATAAGTCTTGTCTATCTCGTCGTTGTGTTCTTATACAAGTCATTTATGAGAAGGTACCTCTTCTAAGCTCTAAGCCTTATTCTTTTCTTGTTCTCCTTTTTCCTACTGATACTTCGGAATTGGAAACAGAGGACTTATGGATAGAGAAGATTGGCGGCGTGAAAACTATGTCATGGGAGAAGAAGAAGCAGTTTGGCTTGTAAAGCTGGTTCTTCCTTATCTGAATGAATTTCTTCTCAAGCTAAGAGGATTTTTTTCTGGAGATCCTGCCGTTACAATGAAGGTTAACTTCCTTAATTTGAATAAGTTGTCACATTACTAGTTGAGTTACGGAGTAGACTATCAATTAACTGGATGCATCCTTGATTAGTTCTAACTTATTGTAAATACGGATTTGATTAATATGTGCTAACTGTGTGCATATGAAATTGTAGTTGGCAGTGGTGTTATTTGTCTTGGCAAGGTGCGGCAGCTCCATCACTGTTTGGAAGATGTTGAAGTTGAGTAAGTTTCATCAATTGACCATTATAAAATTACAGCGTATGTATCTACTATCTTAATCTTTGTTTGGCAGCGGCCTAGCAACATTAAGTTGACCCACAATGTTTTAAGTAGCTGGAGTTTATTTAGCTGCGAGCTTAAAGTTTTTATTTGAATTACTCCGTAGTTAATACTACTTCCGTTTCATATTATTTACAACGATTTAACTTTAAATAAAGAGGAAAAATGTCTAATCATTGCAAATAATATGAAACGGGATAGTATTTGTAATAATTATGTGCACAAAATTGGAGGCGTCAAGAACTGCAAATGCAGATGTGTAATGGTTTACTGGGAATGCTTTAACAAGTCTGCAGTAGCCTTACGCTTTGTTTGTTTGGTGGCTTTACTTAACTAGTACGAGTACTGGTGTATCGTACGAGTAAAAGAGAGAGAGAGAGAAAAAAAAAAAAAAAAAAACTGAGTATGGTCTCTCACTTGAATTAGAAATTCTCCTCTCACTTTCTCACATCTGCATGTGCATTTGGATTGATGCAGGCTTTTTTGGAGTTTTCGTCATTCCCAAACTTTGTTCTTCCTATTCTACTCAGATTACTGCACACGGTAAAATAAATTTAATTTTAGCTTTTTTCCCCTCCCTTGCTCTTTACCTTTTTTTTTATTATTATTTTATTATTATTTTTTTTGTATATACTTGTATATATATTGCTATGATACCAAGGGTACATGTTAAATATGGATCTAGGCTGCACCATTCAAAATCTGATAATGATGTAAAATATGGGTACTTGTGAGAAAAAAAAAATTTAGGATTCTAAAAAAAGGACTATTGAATAGTGAAGGATAAAATAAGAATTGGAATAAAAAAGACAAATGAGTAGACTGCGTAGTGAGTACTAGTGGAAATAAGAAATGGAGAAAAAAAGAATGAAAAAGGAAAGTATGTAGAAATTAAATTATGAAAGGATGTCCCTATCCCATGCTAAGTTGCTAACAGCATAATACTCCATACAATTACTCCTACTTGTCATTTGCTCCTGCTATTCCAACAATCGGTCTGTACTTAATTGACACATTTAATTTCAGCCAAGTTTTGGGTTGGGCGTTTCCGAGATGCCTGGGAGTCATGCTCACATAAAAAAGCTCTAGCATTCGCTGTCTTCACCATCATCTGGAATTTTTCTTCGGTAGTTGCTCGTGCATGGGCAGGTAAGGCCTCATCAATCATTATTTGCTCTGATCTTTTACATACTAAAACGACACTTCTGTAACAAATAAAGTCTTGAACAATGTGGTGATCTTAGAACTAGATTTGATATATTGTGTCAATATATACAATGCTTGACTCGATGCCTTTCATATTCATGGCAGCCTTCATGTTGTTTGTGGCTTTTCGATACTATCAGCAATCTTTGATCAGTGATGATTTTGTGGAGGTCAAGGAGCAGACTGGATTACACGCACACAATGTTCAGAGAAGACAACATTTAGCAAGACAAAGACGCAGAATCGCAACTTCATTAGATCAAGAGAAACAAAAGAAGAACTTCTGATCTAACTCGCACAAATCCAAGTAACTTAGAAAAGATAGATGGTTTGTGAGAGTAAATGAAGTTGAACATGCACACTTTATACAGATATAGTTAATTAGTTAGCTTTACCAGCCCATTTCTAGCTTCAATATTGTTAACACCCCTCAACAAAATTATGATGTAAATGTACGTGCACAGTGCGCTATCTGGTTTTAATAAAGGTACTGGCTGTTTTTGTCATTCAGCAAACAATCTTTGTCCATTTCTGTCCACGCTCATTGCTGGTAAGACTTAAACAAACCAAGATTATTCTATATAGTGTAAACACATTACAGTTACTTTTATTATCTCAACTTGAAGCATTATATGCTGCTGATCTACCTACAAGTTACACTGAGAGTGAGGGATAGCTCAAATGGTTAGAGCTTCCATAGTTATAGATCTAAGAATCGATTCTCACCCCCGCCCTTGTGGCTCTCTAATCACTACTTGCAGTTGTGCATGTAGCTCTCCCACCTCGTTATGTCACTTAAGTGATAAACACATTTTTGTGTGCTATAAATTAAGCTCAGTCTCTAACTTTGTGATATCTGTTTTGTAGGTTATCTAATATTTCTTATGCATTTTTGTCAACTACTATTATTTTTAAACTCTTAAAAAGGCTACTCACTAATGATCAAACAACTCTTTTTACACCAAAAAAAAGCTCATACGAGTAACTAAACACCTCAATTTATAATCTTTAACTATTTTTTTTTTTTTTTGGGTGAAAGAGAGGGGACGAGCCCCAAAAGAACAAACAAAAACACAAAAACAAAACAACAGAAAAACAAAAGAAAACAAACTAACAGGAAAAACTAAGCTACTAGAAACTAAGCACTAGGCTTCTCCGACACCATCCTAGCCCATGCCACACCGCCCAACTCCTCCAATAAAACGGCATGAAGGTCCAAATGGACCGCCTCAATCATAACCAGCTTCTCGTCCAATGACACGAATTACATGTGTCACATGACACTATTTTCATAATCTTTAACTATCTAGAATTACATGTGTCACATGACACTATTTTCATGTACTGGTACTAAAATTATGTCACATTACCAATAAGAAAATAGATTATTAATCTCACAATCTGTTTGTTTATTTATCTTTGTGATAAAAAAAAAAAAAAAAAAAAAAAAAAAAAAAAAAAAAAAAACCTTATCTACTAGTATTTCTATAAATAAATCAACATAAATTCCCAATCGACATGACATTGGTGTAAATAAATAAATTTGTTACTCTAATTACAAAAATAACACTAGAAAACCAATTTTTTTTAATCACGAAATAAACTTGTATTTTCTCTATTTTTATACAGCGGAAGGCCGGAAGCAACCCAGGTTTTTTTTTTTATTTTATTTTTTGAACCCAGCTTGGGGAATAAGAAAATTGGGAATCAAGAATCATGTCTGCGGAAAAGTCTGATAAAGTCCACAGCGATGTGCTAGCCAGTGCGAGACAAGCTTGCTACAAGGTAATCTCTAATTAATGACTTTAATTTAGTGTTTTAATTGAGAATTAAGAATTTGAGAATTGAGAATTGGAATTAATGAGTTTAATTTAGTGTTTTAATTGAGAATTAAGAATTTGAGAATTGAGAATTGGAATTAATGAGTTTAATTTAGTGTTTTAATTGAGAATTAAGAATTTGAGAATTGAGAATTGGAATTCAGGCACGGGATGAATTCTACGCTTGTTTGGAGAGAGAATCTGGCAAAGTTGCCTCCGAATGTGCTTCCGTCGGCCTTCTCTATCCCGCCGAATGCAAGAAATTCAGGGCTAATTTCGAGAACAGTTGCCGCCCTGCTTGGGTACTATCTCCGATTCATTCTCCTGGATAATTTTTTTGATAATCCAATTTTATTAAACTTGATTGTAAAATTAAATCGCAGGTGAAGCACTTCGACCGGCTACACTGCGGAAAGAAGAGGACTCAAAGATTATTGGATGATAATGAGCTCAGGAGAGGTCCGTTAACTCTTCCACAGCAAACTTTCACCTGCAAATCACCCACTAATTAGATTTTTACTTGTTTAATTAATTGCTTTTTACCAATATATTTAACTACACTAGCTAATTATTGGGATGGATTATCTGTTTTGGCAGACTTTTGAAAAGCCATTGCTAACTTGGAACAATGCCGCTCAATTCCCTTGTTCATGTTATTTTTTTTGTTTTAAATGATGTATTTTTGGTGCTTTTTGTTACCAAATGAATAAATTTAGGATGTCTCCTTGTACACTTTGAACTTTTAGGATTGTGATTGTTTCATTTTTTTTTTCTTCTTATTATTTGTCTTTGTTGAATTGTTCATTATTGGATGTGGGTTTATTAAGGGTGCTTTTTAATCCCAAGATCTAAGTTATATCCATGTATAATAAGGATGTCTAGCCTAGTCGAGTATACTTAAGTAGCTAGGATTTCTTTCGGGTCAAACTGTAGCTCAGTAATATCAAAGCTGGGGCTGATATAGATGGTGCAAGTGCAACCCTATAGAGTGGTCGGCCAGAGCAATTGACTTGTAGTATCTTTTCTGTGAAAACAAAATGAATATCAGTGGAACTAGTAGTCAAGGGGAAGTGAATTGGTGGACATTTCTTTTGGATGTCTAGCCTAGTCGAGTACTTAAGTAGCTAGAATTTCTTTTGGGTCAAACTGTAGCTGAGTAATATCAAAGCTGGGGTTGATATAGATGGTGCAATTAACCCTATAGAATGGTCTTTTAGGCCAGAGCAATTGACTTGTAGTATCTTTTCTGTGAAAACAAAACTGAAGTATGAATATCAATGGGACTACTAGTCAAGGGGAAGTGAAATAGGCGTGACTGCTTTTGAGATTTAGAAGCCCAAGCTCATGTTGTTTTTGAGCAAAGTGTGTTGTCGTAATGCAAATATATAGCTTCGTCCATCCAGTTTTATTTGTTGTGTATAGCGCCTGCCTCATGCCTTTGCTAAACTAGCTTTGTCTTCCTGCAATTCTAAGGGTCAATAATTAGAAATCACCTTCAGAAGTCCTCTGCTTTTGCTTAGCAATTTTTTTTTCTAAGAAGTAAAAGCACCTTAATATTTCATTACAATAAACCTTAGAACCCTCAAATGGTTTATCTAGGTGCTATGTACGTAGTATCATTTATGCACCAACTGAAAAACATTTTCAATCAGCATGATCAATTCTCTGATAAGACAGCCAAAGGAGTGTTCTGAATTGGAGGAGGATTGTATATGATTGTTAAATATAATTTCTTAAGAATTAGGATTTTGTATCATAAATCTACTGATTCTTCTTCCTTTTGCTTACTTTCTTTCCATGTTCAAAGACTTCAAACTATGTTAAATTGGTTGGTGGGTGCACTTTTTTAGTTTCATAACATTACCATATAAATTAGGTTTCACTTTGGGGTTCTAGGAAGTTAGTTTCATTAAAACTTTCAGATATTTTGCCCATATTTGTTTGTTAGAGGGTTAGTAAGGATGATATAGAGAAGATCCTACATTTTCCCTGACTTGCTGTGTATGAGAGTAGGTGGCTGTTCTTTTAGCAAAGCACATTTATAAGTGGTTCCTTGAAGAGGCATATAGTTGAGGATTATCTAAAACTCTTACCATAATATTTTGAATGGTGGTTTCACACGACGTTGCTAGTCATTTGTTTCTGCTATGTAGTTCAACCAATAGATTGATCATATACTTGAAATAGATCCTATTTTGGCAGGAGAAACATATTGGATTTACAATTTGCTCTACAAATTCGACATTGTTTGATACCCCCTTCATCCCAACTTAATCTTCCTGGTTAACTTGGACAGTTTTGCTCATGAAAGAGTTGGCTAAAGGATGTAGGATTGATGATTTAGGCTGTCTTTGTTATCGGGCGGAGATATTTTAGCAAGTTAACAAGCTGGTTCTGTTCTTAGTTAGTACTTGGGAATTCATCGTCTCAGTGACTTAGCCCTACATAAGTGAGGCTAGTTAGCTATTCAACCTATTACTGAGATTTGCAAGGTTTAACCCCCAAAAGATGTATTATGCCTGTTGTATCCCCTTGGTAGCAAAACAATAGTAACAATGGTTCTTGTTAGGAAATTGGCCACTTAATGAGGGTGAATGATACTACTACCCGTATACATCAGATGATCAGACAATTTTCTTCAGTGCGGTCGCAATGCTTATTTTGGTACATGGCTCTTTGTTTTGTAGGGAAATTGAAGGCTTCAAGAGCTCTTTTGATCATAAATAGAAGTTGTGTTAAGGAACTATTTGAGCTCTTAATCATGGCTCATTGTTTTTTTTTTTTGGTACTTCCTCAATTTTTTTAATATTGCACGGTTGGAGTTGGTTATAGTTTTATTTGGTAATGGAAAAAAGGAAGAGAGAAAGGTAAAAATTTGAAAGTGACCATGTGTTATAAGGTAATGGTATATTAGGTATTTGTAATGAAAAAAAGAGATGTTTGTTTTGGTTTTTTTTTAGATGATGCATCCCTGTTCAAACATGTTCCCTTCTCTCCGAGTAAAAAAGTAAATGAGCTCAATTTCAAACGGGGAAATCCCTAGTGGAAAATTGTCTCAGATTTCGAGTAGTGTAATTTTGGTACCAAAATTGCATATCTTGATATCAAAATACCAAGTAATCACACTTTTGTACCAAAATAAAAAATAAATAAAAAATTGTAGCTTTTTATATTTTGGTATCAAAATTGTACTCACACGACGTGCCACTATGACCGAGAAAATACTTCATAATAAACAGAAAAATGTTTATCTAGTGGCATTTTTGTAAATAAATTAAAAACTTTTGTCAAATGTGGACCCTAGTAATATTGATTTATTTACTGAAATGCCATTATGACTGAGATTTTATATTGATTTATTTACGGAATTGTCACTAGATAAACGTTTTTTTGTTCATCCATGAAGATGAACTGGGACTCCCTCTGCTCTAAAATGTTGTTGCCTTGTTGGACAATTCTTCGAACTTCAAATTATCGGCTTTTGTCACACTTTTGTTGAAATGAATCAATATGTCATCTTCTTTAGGGAGCCTCCAAATCAATTATGCGAATGTAATGCTAAACGTCATCTTCGAATCTCAAAGTAACGCCCACATTTATAATCTAAAATTACATTCCTACCCTTGTTATAAACTAATCAAATTTAACTCAATTATATTAAAATTGATGAAAGTAATCGCATCAGGAGGTTGATTCATTTTTGAGTGACTAAGTTTATATATTCTCTGATTTCTCTCCTACTTTCATGGTTTCCCCTTTGATTTTTGCATATTTTGGGCATAACCGAGTAGGCTAGAAATTTCGAATCTTGGTGGGTGGTTCGAAATATTTGGGCGGTTTCACATGAAACGCTTAGAAATTACGATCTTCCGTCAAAGATTTGAAATTTATGGGCGTTAGATTTCGAAAATATTGGGTGTTTATGCGTATTTCAGAAAATAAAAATAAAAAGTTACAGTGTCGTTGACGCGTCGACATCCTCAACGACGGCCTTCCTCAGTCCTTCCTCGGCATTTTCGTGATGCGTAGATCTACACTTGGGATGTTTTTATAGTGTTGGTTGTGGTGATTTGTAAGTAAAGGGAGGTGGTGGTTCAATTTCAATCTTCCTCGACAACTTCAAAGTTTATAGATATGGGGCTTCATTTCAATCTTCCTCTCAATTTGGTCCAATTTTATGCAATTTTCTTGTTCTGTGTTTGGAAGTAATTCGTATTATAATCGAACCGAAAAGCAAACCTAATTAGGAATTCAATTTGGATTTTTTTTTTTAAAAAAAAAATTCAGATCAGATCGGTTCAAGTTTAGATTTTGTTTGGGGTTTAAAAAACCGAAAAACGAATTATAAAGCGAAATTTCAGACCATTACATCAAGCCCATATCTTCCTTTACAAAGTATCTCAACCCTTTCCCACGCTTCATGTATAAACCAAAAAAAAAAAAAAAAAAAAAAAAAAAAAAAAAAAGAAAATGTTAATTCCCATATCCTCCTCTTGACTTCCTTAGTTTCTCACTCTTTCACAAAGTCATAGCTCACCAATCACATCTTCTCCGATTTCCCCTACTATCTTAATTTCTTAGACATTGTTAATGGACACTAAAAATTTATGTATATGTAATACCCCTAATATTTTATAAGCAAAAGTTTGGTTTAGTTTTTACTCTATTTTAAATTTACAAAAAAAAATTTCTACTTTAAGTTTCAGGACGAAACTTGTTTTAAGGAGGGTGGATTATAATACCCTAAAATTTTCTATTTTAAGTTTCGGGGACGAAACTTGTTTTAAGGAGGGTAGATTGTAATACCCGAATATTTTATGATTTTATATAATATATTTTATAAAAATATAGTTTTTTTATTTATTATATAACTTTTCTAATCTCATATTTTTAATTTAGAGTACGGAACGTTTTAAAACCCTATTTTGTTTGAATATGATTCTACAATCTAATCTTATATATATATATATATATATATATATATATATATATATATATATATATATATATATATATATATATATATATATAAAGGGGAGTTTTTTCCCGAGTTTTTATAGAGCCACGTAGGATCTAATTTTCTCAGCGCGCCATGTAGAATTATAAATCTTAGTAGTAGCCAATTAAATAAGAGATTATTAATTTCTTTTAGAATTAAATAATTTAAATGTCATGTAAGCAAAATTGGCGAATGAGATTTTTAAGTTTAAATTAATTATATATTATATATTATCTTTTAATATTAGAAATTTTATCTAAATATATAACCAATTTTAGGCTCATAAATACAAAAAAAAAAACATTATTTAAAAAAAAATCAAACAAATATTATAAACTATTTTAAACCCTATAAATATTCTTAACCCTCAAAAAATATTTTATATTTTAAAAAATTTCGAAGAAGCCGTTTTCCTTTTGCCAATGCTTTAGATTTGTAAAACAAAGTCAATTTGTTTCTTCTGGTAAGTTTTTGTTTCATACTCCAATATCCATCATATGTCCATTAGTTTAATTTATATGATGATTATATTGTGGGTCTAATAGGAAATTAAAGCTCCACAATATATTTGTATAATGAAGGCTGCAATTTACCCAACGTATGTAGCTCGGTTTGTTTCTTGCTTTGCGTTGAATGTCGTAATGCGATTTTAATTCCTCGAAAGGTAATCACACTATCAACCCTTAATTAGATCGTTTGTTTATAATTTGATTGTATTATTTATTTTGTATACTACGAGAAAAGGTTGAATGATTGCATGAATCATTTGAGTGAAGTTCAGGTACAAATGATGTAAAAGAATACAAGTAATTTCAATTTGGATTGGATTCAAATTAGAAAAACTGGATTAATTCGGTTTGATATGGATTGGATCGAATCTTAATTCGGTTTGTATTCTGTTAAAGAAATTCAATGCCGAATTAATTCGGATTGGCTTCGATTTTGGCTATAATCCAAACCGCAAACAATCTTTCACTCCTAAAGACTACTTAGTCATGTGATATGAAAAATCAAGTGGGATAGAAGGCAACAAAAATAATACTACCTCCGTTAACCATTATCTGCAACTTTTACCAAAAATGGACGCTAAAAATTATGTGCAACATTTCCAGACCTTTCCATATTTAGTAAAAAAAAATTAACAAAATTACAAAAATACCCTTACTTAACTTTATAACATCAATTACATTCTTAAAAACATAATTAATTAATTACTAATCTAACCTAATTAATCTAATTACTCCTATCAAATTTAATTCATCTCCCCCGATAACTCATTAAAATCAACCAAACTAGTTCAAAATCATCCAATTTCTCCACATTCATACCCTAATTTTTCACCCTCTTCATCTTCCCCATTACCTTTCTCCTTCCTCCTTCAAACTCAATCAAGATCTGGTATCACAAAGAAAGGTGATGAAGAAGAAGACGACGAAGAAGAAGATCTGGTATTCGGTGGGTGTGGCTATTTCTTTGGTGGTTTTGGGTTCGAATTGGGGTGGGTTGTAATTCTGGGTTCGAGTTGTGGGTTTAGTTTCTAGTGCGTTGGTCGTTTTTGGTGGGTGGATTTCGGTGGGTAGTCGTTCTTCGTGGGTGGTTTTCGTAGGTGGGTTTTCGCAAGTCGTTCTCGGTGGGTGGTTTTCGTGGGTGGGTTTACGTTGGTGGTTTTTGTAGGTGGGTTTTGGTGGTTTCGTCGGTGGGTTTTGGAGGATCGTCGTCGATCTGGGAAAAGGTGTGTTCGCGAAGGTGGTGGTTCTGTCGGTGGGTTTCGGTGGATGGGGCGCTGGATTGTTCTTTCAATTTTTTTTATTTTTTTATTTTTTGCTTAACTATTAATGACATACCCTTACTTTGTGTTAAACTCCATTAAGAAATTTTGCATTGGAGTCCGTTCCTCTCCCCAAAGTTGCAGATAATGGTTAACGGAGGTAGTATTTTTTTTAAGCATTAAAATATTATTGAAGATTTCACTTTTTGACAAAATATCAATTCGCCGCTTCGCCAGTGTCATTTATGTTGTTATATGCGCCCAATTGCATAGTTTGTGATGTGGAGTGCACTCTCAGAATGTTGTGTTGTACACTATTCTTTATCATATTTGGTGCTGCTGAGGCTAATTTTTTCAAAATTAAAAGATATAGAATTATAATTTTTAGAATAGAAAATAATTAGTTTTAATAATCACAAATGAGTCATTCGCTATTAATAATCTAAACTTCATATTTGTTTTTACTGGTCTCAACCGATCACCCAACCTGTTATAACATTATATTGGACACGTGTTACCACGTGATTGGTTTAAAAAAAACCCTAAAAACTAATAATAAACCAAGCTAAACAATAATATAACATAAGTTTGGTGTTATGTGCAGTAGATGATAAACTTGTTTATCCGTCTTATTGACAGGGTAAAGTCGTATCCCCAAATCAAAAATAATTCCTAAGTCCTCTAACTAAAGCAGATAGGGAAGTAGGGTCGATCTCCACAGGGAAACAAGTCTTTTTACTCCTAATTAATTATTATAATCTAAATTATCTAAGTAACCAATATTTATATTCGAATAAGAAACTAAACTACTAAGATTAAGAATAGGGAGAAAAAAATATATAAAAGGATCTAGGGCATAGGTTCACCAATAAATAATACTCCAGGGTAAAACATAATAATCAATCATTGACATTGCATAAATAACATGATTAACAGGCTCTCGCAATTTATTAATCAACATAGATCTAACAGGCTCTCGCAATTTACTAGATCTAAGTTCTTATTGAAAATAGCCTTTAATATCAAATTAACATCTGCTCGATTCATCAACTCAATATTGCTATACTTTTACAAGCCGCAATTGTAAAGCGTTAAAACAATTCAATAAGAAATTATCATGCAATATCAAAAATCAATAATAGTCAATCATCAATGCATCAATTAACCAGATTGTAAAGGGTTTTCGCTACGTATTACAATCACAGAATTAATCTACCGGTATTAAATCTCATCTCTCGAATCTCGACTTAACCATTTATAAATTAACCTGCCTATTGAAACTAGACCTAACCATTAATTCTCATCTATCGAATCTCGAATCAATGTTGTCATACTCATGCATAAAAGATAGGCCTAATCTAGTCACAGAGCATTAAATCAATCAATAGGAAATTAATCTAGCATTGATAATTAACAACAACAAATTACCCCTTCATATTATTTATGGATCCCCATAAACCCTAGAAATAAAACTACTCACACATAATAGAAACTAAACTAATCAAAGCAATAAAGCAAGACATGATTAAAGGAATAAAATAAACAACTAAGATTAAGAGAAGAGAAATCGTTACCAAACTAATCTGTATTAATGGAAAATAATTAAGAACAAGAGTTGAGAGAAAAGTTAAGAGAGAGAAAAATCCTAAGTAGAGAGAGAAAGTCTAAGAAAGAAGGTCATCAAAATTCCGTACAAAAATCCTACTTAAACGTTTTCTAAAACAAAAATTAAAACTAAACTAATCAGACTCCATAAAAACACGCGCCCGATCAGGCCCGCCTTTTTCTTCGCATTCCTTCTCCGCAGCATTGCCCGATCGTGCTAGACGCTCGCACGATCGGGCGCGCTATAAGCACGCACAGCACCAACGCCGCGCCGCGCCCGATCGGGCTCTTGCTCCACTTTGAGGCTCGGACTTTGATTGGGCTTGATTTCTCGGCCCAATCCGGATTTCCTCTTCGGGTCTTGAATACTCGGTCCAAATACCTCGGGATTCCAATTACCGAACCCTTAAACCGGCTCGATGACTCTAACCGGCCTTGGGCTTCAGAGATGGCCGTGCACTTCTAATTCCCGTAGTCGCTTCATGAAAAACCCGAGAAAATGCTCTAAAGGCGCAATTTCCTACAAAACTCAACAAAGACTACGAAAACACTAGAAAACACAAATTAGTAATAAAAGTGGCTCGAAAGAGCCAAAAACACTACTAATTATGACCAAGGGACGGGGGTAAATTACTATATAAAATAGACATATCAAACTCCCACAAGCCAAACCTTTGCTTGTCCCTAAGCAAAGATCTCATCAATGAATCAATAAATATGCTTCACCCCAATAATCAAATCAAGTACCAACGATTAGGGCAAATCTAATGAATATGCTTCAACATCAATCAATCTTATTCATCTAATCACCCTTCCTCCCTAACAATTGTCAAGTAGAGCAAACCACAAGAGCATATAGAATTCAAGACTAGTGCTCACACACTCAACTCTCATTTATGTGGCGAGTAAAAGATGTACTCGATCGCTCTCTAACCAACCCCTTTAATGTGAACAATGCCCTCCCAACTCACACTCTCGTGTGTATAAGAACAATGAACGCTCAACCTACTAGTCGACTCGAAATATGCCAAGTCATAACTTGCATTGATAAACAACACTTTCACATTTACACAACTTCTATGCACAAGGTCGGAAGGTCTTTAAAGCTTGTAATGTAAGGCTAGGGTAAAGGGTAGGATAAATTTAGGATTATGTGAGAGAAAAGCTATGCATTAAGGGAGCCAAATCCTAATAAACCCATGATCAAAATAAATGATGATTATCTCCATTTACATAACTAACTCCAACAAAAATCACCAAATACAACTCTAATCATCATAAACAATCCCAACACTTACAATAATCACTCATAAAAATATGATAATGTAGAACTTTGAGTGAAAAACAAACTTTGAACTCATTTTTTTTTCTTTGAACAACCTTCAAATAGAACATTTGAGCATTAATTTTTTTTTTCTTTTGCTCTTTTTTTTCTTTTTAACTCATATTGGAAATTCAACTTTGAAACACAACATCAATATTTTCCAATCAAAAATCAAAGAACAATAACTCTTCTTTTATTCCCACATTGTGCAAATAATGTGCACACCACAACTCCCTCACTTCACCAACTAATAGCTCCTCCAAGCCAAGCTTGGGACTAGTAACCAATGGGGCTCATATAGGCTTGTAATGTGGCTAAATAAACAATAAAAGGGCACAAGCAACAACATGGGTAACAAGAAGGGAACAAATGTATCTAATACTCCGAAGGCTACCTAAAAGAATGAACGCCTTCGTCCTCCTCATGTGCATAATAAATAGTCATGAAACACTACTCATAATTGCAAATCAATACTCAAATTCATTGACATACCAGGAATTATGGAACTATCACACATTTCCTAACCAAATCAACTAGTCAAGCACTATATTTACAAATAGTTGGCAAAATTGACTCATGTTTCCAAGCAATTAAACTTCATATCATGACCAACAAATCCACAATGCTCATTATCAATAACCAAGAATCAAAACAAAATTTCTCAAGTATGGGGCACAGGGAAGCATAATTTACAACTCATTGGAACGTATTTTTGATTTTTTTTTATTTTTCAATTTTTTTGTATTTTTCATATATAAGAAAGCAATAAAAACTACACTAGGAAAGCAGTAAAACTATACTAGAAAGCAAATAAAAAGAGAAAAGGAAGAGAATTACCAAGCGAAAGAACACCCCCCCAAGCCAAATCAAGCAATGCCCTCATTGACTTGGGAGTGTAGCCTACTCCTCATCATCATCCATCCTCGAATAGCCCCCTCCGTGGCTAGAACCGGCTCCTCCATGGCTAGAGCCACCACCTCCATAACCCGAACCACCTGCAAAGTAGTTATGGTCCACATTCCCCCCAAGCCCACCAAAAGGTACATCGGTCCCATAACCATGGACCGATGAGTAGTCGACTTAACCATTTATAAATTAACCTGCCTATTGAAACTAGACCTAAGTTTAGTGTATAAAGTAAGCTAAACAATAACAAAAACATGTTTCTTTCGATTTTCACTTTAATACATTGAGTATTGAACGATGTCAGGGTGGGGAAAGGGAGTGAGTGGGATCGCTGGCGTAGGAGGGGGGTAGGCGCCAGTGGGTAAGGTGCTAGGGTGCAGTAGGGTGGCTCGTAGGGGTGGGGGTGTTTTTCAATGCCATGAGTGATTTATAATCCATAACATAAGATTAATAAAAAAATTTGCAATTTACCAAAGTGAAAAATAAAAAGCTGATGGTTACCAAAGAAAATTTCGCTTTCTTAATTTGCATAAAGTCGAGTTGTAGATAAGTCTAGCCCTCTCGAGTTTTATTTAATGGCTTCACTTCTATGGGATAGTTCCAAGAGGTGAGAGAACTGTGAATGAAAGATTCAAGAAAATTGGGAATTTAGAATAACAAAAGCTGCATGTTTAGATTTACTGAACTGAGCTGAGCTGAATTGAATTAAACTGAACTGAATTGATTGGAGCTGAACTGAAATGAAATGAAGTGTTTATGAGAGAAGGGAATTAAGAACTGAATTGAACTGAACTGATTGTAACTGAACTGAATTAAACTGATTAGAGTTGAACTGAACTGATAGGAACTGAACTGAATTAAACTGATTGGAGTTGAACTGAACTGAAATTAAGCCGAAAAGAACAACCCCTAAGTCTTTATTATTTTGTCGCATTAAATAAATGATTTTTTTAACATGATATCAAGATCTGAAACGGGACAAAGTTAGGGTAACATAATCAAACATTTTGTACCTAAACTTGTTTGGGAGTCTTGAATCTCTTGATGTACTTGTATTTACTTTTAAACCAAAAGAAGGTCGAGCCGAGCTTGAAATTGTTGATTGATCGCAAAATGAGGTAAAATTAGGGCCCAATATAAAATTAGGTTGAAGAGCGAGGAGGTGGAGAAAATCACGAATTCCTGCGAGTAAAACTTGTAGTGAGGCTTCTCTTCCTTCCCTTCCCTTCCCTCTTCTCTCGAATTCCTTGTTCTTGAAATTATATCAAACCTAAACCAATCTTATGCAATTATTTTTATTATCAATTTTCTGTTTTTCATTACTCTAGTAATTTCAACCACTGCAATGGAAGATGACGACGAGTTCGGAGATCTCTACACAGACGTCCTCAGTTCATTCCCTTCATCGTCATCTTCCCTCCCGCCGCCGGCGCCGACTCCGATTCCGACTCCGACTCCGGCGTTACAACCTCCACCTCCCTCCCGTCCGATTGATCTCAATCTTGAATCAGAAGACGCAGATGATATTCCCAATTCAAATTACTCTCATATGAAGCAGCAGCTTGATGTTCACGACAATGATAATGAAGATTCCCAGCGTGTTGATAAGTCCGAAGAGAATACGGGTCAAGAAGATTCCAACAGTTCTGCCGCCGCCGCCGCCGCTGCCGACGGAGCTAGGGTTTTACTGACTGCCGATGTCAACGACCAACAGCTAGTAGATGATGTAGAGGTAGAAGATGTAGATGCGTTTCAGAATCAATTGGACAAACACCATAACTTTGGTATCGAAGATTTTGGGTGTGGTGCTGGTGGTGGTGATGAGTGGGACAGTGACAGCGATAGTGAGGATGATTTGCAAATTGTGCTGAATGATGCTCGGCACGCTCCGCCGGCGCCCATGATAGTTGGGAGCGATGATGAGGATGAAGATGGTGACCCACTTGTGATTCTGGCTGATGATGACGATGCTGCTGGAGTTGTTCAGGCTGTGGAGGACCAAGATTGGGGAGACGAGGCCGGACAATCTTCTCAAGGCAAAGAGACTAGTGATGCTTCCAAACTTAATGCTAATGCAGGACTTTCAACTGCTCCCAAAGTTGGTTATAGCAATTATGGTTATCACCCTTTTCATTCTCAGTTTAAGGTCAGTTTATATGGGGTTTCTGTTACATCCATCACACATTTTTATTGTAATTCTATTCATTGTATAGTCTAATTATGCCTTTATAAGATTCAAAGATTCAGATTGAGATTAGATTAGATTACACAAGATGAATACTTCTTGTATGTGTTTATATACGTCAGTGATATAAAATTACCAACAATTTCCTCAATTTCTTGTATGTGTTTATATATGTCAGTGATATCGCTACCCCCAAATTATTATGTTTTCGCGCTTTACTTTTATGTAAAAAGAGATCGGGTGTAGGTTTGAATTAAGTGCCTGTTCTACCGCGTACTCTACCCTGAATCTTACAGTAGTAAGAGTTCTTTTGTTCTATTCTGTAATGAGGTCTAATTCTATTCAGGACATAACTGTGACTGATATTTCAGAAGATCCAGAACTACTATAATCCTTTATATGGTTTGGTTTGGTTTGCTGTATACTTTCCAATTCACGACTCAGAGTTCGGATTGGCCACGAACTGCATTCTGACTCCACTACTTGCTGGATAAGCTCTTGCTCAGATATACTTTGTGAACTTTATGGAGTATACCCCCTTGTCCTTTCTGTAGTCAGTCAGAAGATTTGTGCAATATATACAAATATACTTGACTATAATATAACCACCTCATTTAAAGGATGCCAGTATTTATTGTACAGGGAAGAGATTCTGGTTGGTACTGTTCCGGATAAGTCATTGTCTATTTAAGAAACACTTGGAGCATGTTGAATGCAATCTTTCCATTCTGCTATTTTGAATTCCCTTTTGACAATGGATCCTCCAGTGTTGTAGTCAAGTGCAAAAGACTACTGTGAGATTTATATGCTTTGAGGATGGAATTGTTATTCAGAAGACATGTTACCATGATATGATCGGGGAATAATGCTGAAACTCTGGGATTCTCCTGTTCATAACATGTTGGTGGTCCTAATTGTGTAAAAAAAAAAAAAAACCTGAAAGCAAGCCAAGAACTGACCTTTAAAAGAAATTTGATTCAAGTCATAGTTGAGTAAAGACAGTATTTGTTCCCTTGGCTCTGTGCTGACGTCATATTCATATTAAACTTTTACTTTTTTGACTTGATAGGGTTGTGAATTATTTCATGCGATAAGTGTTTGTCGTATTTGTCAGAATACTTAGTGGGTTATGTCTCCTTGTTTTACCGGATTTTAGAGCGTACCTATGTTATGAGGTTTTCAGTCAGACCCGTATGATTGCTTGCTTGTCGTCCTGCATATTCTATTTTCTTTTTTGATCAATTCATCTATAATATGCCCTTATATTCTCAATTTGGTTAAAATTATGCTTTATCTCTCCTTGTTTCTAATGAGAGGGGCAAAAGGGTAAAAAATGCAACTATACGATGAGTCTATGCAATTTTTATTTGTGTTTGTCTTCAATTTTATACTGAATAAGTCATCTGGCTGATTTTGCAGTATATAAGACCTGGTGCAGCACCTCTGCCTGGAGGACCTTCCATTGGTTCAGGTGGAGCCCCTGGCCAAGTTCGCCCCCCAGTCAGTGTAAGCACTATGGCTGGTCGTGGAAGGGGTGATTGGAGGCCACCTGGAATGAAAGGTCCTCCAGTGCAGAAGGGTTTTCATACGGGCTTTTGGGGTAGCAATGTGCCTGGACGTGGTTTGGAATTCACTCTTCCGTCTCACAAGTGAGTTTGCAACTGTGTTGGCTCTTTTCTGTTTTGCTAGATGATATTTTGCTGGGTTACTTTGTTTGAGATAAGTTTGGACAAAATTATTCAAGTTTAGGTAAGTTATAGGATATTCGTTCCCCTTAATATTGCTACAATTATCATTTTAGGAAGTTTCACAAATATTGCAACCATTACCATATATGCACATTCTTTCTCTCTATCTCTCTCCTCATGACATGGATCTCTATCTTTATTACTCTCTATCTCTCTCCTCATCTTAAATTCCGTATCGTCCTCCCTTGTTCCAATAAGGAAGTATATTTTCAGACGAAATTAGAGAAACCTAACAGAGCCTTCTGGTCCCCCTTTGGAGCCAAGATTTGCGTTGTTGCAACTTGCAAGGAGTACGTTATGTAGATTATCTTTTTGCATTTTAAAGACTTTTTTTAGGATACTGTTACTATGTAGATTATCTTTTTGCATTTTAAAGACTTTTTTTAGGATACTGTTACGCAATTTGAGAAAATATCAAGGTGAGTGATTGTGAGATAAGTAGGATAAAGTAAGAGAGAATGTAAAAAAGTGGTTTGTGTAAGAAAAAAGTGTATAAAGAAAGAGAGTGTGTGTGAAAATATTTGATTATTGTGAGGTTGAAAGGGTGACACCCTGCTTTATGTCGAGTGTCCACTGAACCTCCGACAGGACACCCAAATTTAGAGTGACCTTATATGAAATTTTATAAAATCTGGGGTGTCGAAGGATCCGTTACCGTGTCGGACACGGTATCCAAATTTGAGTTTGTGCAATATAGGGTGAGATTGTAAAAGGAGGGGTAAGCCAAAATAGGATAAAGCAAATTGGGTAGAACAAAAGTGAACGGACTAAAATGGTTAGTGATTAAAACAGAAAAGAAGAGGGGGGAGGGGAGTACTTGTTTTTATGTTTTTTTTTTTTGGTCAAGATTTTCTTTTTCATCCGTCCAATTTTAATGACACACTTCCTTATATGGCACGGATTGATGAACCCATTATTTTTTTTTTGTTACTTCTCCATTCCCACTCCACCTTATCTTATTTTACTTTTCCCTTTAGCATTTCCCATCTCATCTACTTTTCTATTAAAATATACCAATAGCAATTTACCAAATAAATTTATGTGCAATGCTTGGTGTGACAATTGATTTGGGGTAGAGGGATTAGTATCAGTTCCAGCTCTAGTCTCATCAATCAACACAATATCATCCACAAACAGCAAACACCATATTGTATCTTCTTAAGACCTTGTTACTATATGTCTTACTCTAAATAAGTTAGACTCTGTACATCTTTCTCCCCCTGTTATACCCCGTCTTTTGTCTAATTAGTTGGCTAACTTCTATGGAAGATTGTCCTTGCGTATGCCCACAATAATTATACTTGTATTCTATGTTTTGTCACCCTCTTCTATAATCTAATTATATAACTCATAAGCTTTATCCCTCTATAGTTTGAAGTTTGAACAGTCTTGTGGGACGCCTTCATTTTTTAAAATATAGCACCAAAGTGATTTTCCTCCAATCGCTAGGGCATCTTGTTTGTCCTCCAATTTTATGTAAAATATTTGTCAACCCATCAATACCAACCTTTCCAAGTCATCTCAATATTTCAATAGGAATACCATCTGAGGCAACTGCTTTCCTTACTTTCATTCTCTTCAATGCCATCTCCACCTTTATTTTTGTGAATCATTTTGCATAGTATTCCTGGTCCTCTGTAGAAAGTTCTTGTAACCCTCACCTGACTTCCACTAAACTACCTGAAGAATTTCCTCTATCTATCCTTAATCTCATCGACTCATCATCCTGGCTGAGAATTTTTACAGGAGACATCTCCGGTAACACCCACTTGGTTCCCAATTAATTTTAACTGTCATAATCCAGATATCTTTCTCTCATGTAAGCAACAGAAAAAGAACAAGTAAAATAAATTAAATTAACATGGGATATCTGATGGCCAAGTTGATCATTATCTCGCTTCTGATCCTATTAGTGGGCAGTGTTTGAAAAAGCGTGCCTAGGCGCTGAGGTGCAAGGCAATCAGGGTGAGCGCTTATTTTGGTCTGGACGTGGCGTTTTGGGTTAGGCGCACAAAAAGCAAGGCGCACGAGGCGCATTTCAGCCAAAATTTGTTAACTGCCCATATAGTACGCCTCACTTCAAAGAGGCGCACCTAGGCGCAGCAGAACCCCTCTCGCTTTAGTGGGCCTTGAGCTTTTTTATACATTGTTAGTGGGGCCAACGTCTTATCCTCAACATTAAGCATCTTCCTCTCTTTTTGATTTCTCTAGAGTCTCACTTGAAGCTGATAATGCTTCCTCTATTTTGTATTCAATTCTGCCTTTTGCTTTCTTTTATATTTTGTATTTGATATTGTCATACATTGGCAAAGTGTGCTTCATATTGATGAACCCTTGTATTATCTACCATGCAAAGTAGATGTTTCGTTTTCTGTATATGATTTGGTTCAACCTTATGACCCTTGTACCAGGTCGAGGTGTTATCTGCTTTTGTCATCAATACTTCCTTTTGACTCCTCTCCCAGAGCCCCAGTTAGTTAAAACTGAGGGTGGCAATTCTAACTTCTCGTCAAGATGTCAATATGTCATGGCACTGCCTATTTTTCTAGGCAGTGACGTGCTATGGTAGTTGTGGATAAAACTTTATGACAATCCCCTGTGGAAAGTAGTGAATCATCCATCAAGAAGGCTGATGGAAGTATGGAACTCCAGTATGCTCTGCCTTTTCTTTGTTCACACTATTTTGGAATGCAGGGGGAAAATAATTTAACTTTATTTTTTCCCTTTCCCAGGCACTGCTAAATGTTCATGCTCCATTAAAAACAAGAAATGTTTCTTGCTTTGAGCTGGGTTGACAGTCACTGACCCCATTAACCTTTTTTTATTTTATTTTTTATTCTTCCTCCCTCTGCCCGTGAATTTCTTCACACTTTCTTCAAATTTTTTTCTCATTCCGTCCACTTTTTTTTTTTTTTTTTAATAAAATATTGCTCTTAGGGCCTATTCTCATACGTTTATTTTCAGTTCAGTTCAGCTCCTAATTTCCTTCTCTTATAAAATATTCAATTCAGCTCAGTTTAGTTCAGTCTATGAGAACAGGCCCTTAATCTTTGTGTCAACCCAAGTGATAAGAAAATTAGGGGCAGATAGAGTATGAGCTTATGGTATGGATGTGCTGTCATTGCTTTGGTTCTACTCTTTTGTGTATTGGACTGGATGAAAATTTTAGTCTGCAACTTTTATTTGAGAAAAATTTATAAGATATGTACTGCTGCATATGAAGGGATCTCTTTGTCTAGTTTTTGATGAGAAAGTTTTTCACTTCTCAGTGGCTAACCTGTATTTCCTGTGGTACTTTTTCTCCCTATTGAAAAATATTGTTTATCAATAATATTTGGGGAGCAAGGTGATGATTATATTGCTCTCTAATTGGAAAGTAAGTGTGAACTATCCTTAGGTATACCCGATATTACAAAGGCAGTACAGTAGAAAACTCCATTATACTTTGTTTGATTATTTGACTTGTAGCAGAAGAAGTTTCAGGAATTTTATAGTTCTACTGTGATGGCGGGGAATTTCTGGTGAATGAAATGTGTAATGTATTGTAGCTTATAGAGATATGCACCCTCAGTTCATAAAATCTTAGCTAATAGCCTAATACTATTAATCAACAAAAACTATTTTGACTTTGGATCTAATTCTTGTTGTGCCATTTGCTGATGTTTCTACAGGACTATCTTTGATGTTGACATTGATAGCTTTGAGGAAAAACCTTGGAAATATACTGGTGTAGATGTATCTGATTTTTTCAATTTTGGCTTGAATGAGGAGAGCTGGAAAGAATATTGCAAGCAGTTGGTGTGTGGATCTTGTTCTTTACTCCTACTCTTTCCTTTATTTATTTATTTATTTATTTATTTATTTTTCTTATTACATTATTTGGCCTTTTTGGATGATTAGTCAAGATTCTTGGATGTAATGGAAATTTAACCCATAAGTTCAGCTGTATTTAAGAAGCATGAAATGAATGTAGCTCTTGATCCAATGTTATTGAGACTAAGATTTTAGTGGTCAAAAGAGGGTTTGTTATTAAATTGGTTTTTGTTTCTCAAGGAACAACTGCGCTTGGAGTCTACTATGCAAAGCAAAATTCGTGTATACGAGAGTGGTCGTACGGAACAGGTAAATTACTTTTGATCCTAAAATATACTTGCAATGAAACACGTAGAAAGCTTATGTTTTTTGTTTGTTGAAATCAGGAGTATGATCCTGATATGCCCCCAGAACTTGTAGCAGCAGCTGGTATTCATGACTCGGCTGAAAATGTGGATACTGTGAAAGTTGATGGTGGACAAGGTGACCTGGCTAAAGGATCTGCTCGTGTGCGGCCTCCATTGGTAAGTTCTGCTAGTTTTCTGTTACATTTACCATGCATTGCATAGATGAGCTCAGTGGTTATTTTATTTCTTCTCTCAGCCAACTGGCAGAGCCATACAAGTGGAAACTGGCAATGGCGAGCGCCTGCCCTCTGTTGATACCCGGCCACCACGTGTTCGTGATTCAGATTCAGTCATTGAGGTAAATAGTACTAACTTACTAAGCACTGGATTTCTCACTGTGTGGTCAGTATTGATGAAATGGTGCTTGGGCAAATAGATTGTTTTGCAGGATTCAATTGAAGATGAATCTGCTGGTAATGATGATGGAGAGAATCCAGATAGTGATTCAGCTAGAGAGGATGACCAGGTAGTTGTAGTTGATGAGGATGGTCCTGAGTGTGGGGATGGATATTTTGAGAGTTATCCACGGGGAAGTGATGATATTAAGGAAGATGATTCTCGAAAAAAGAATCCTATCATAAATTCTCACGCTGGTATAGAGGAAGTGGCCAGGTTGTCACCTCAAAGAGCTTCAAGTGATCACCAGCCTGGCTCAAGAGATCATGCTTCTTCTGAAAATATTGGCTCGCCATATGAAGAGAGGTATCAATTGGATGCTGTTACATTCTTAGTTATGCATTTTCTCTTCATTTTCATCTGTCATCCTGGTTGTTATTGTACTCCCTCTGCTTTTGTAAGTGCATCACTTTGACCAGCACACATGCCAGTGCACAACTTTGACCATCATTATCTTTAATAGTCCATTAGTAAAATATAAAAAGTTGATATCATGAAACAATGTGTTGTGACTAATCAAATAACATTTCCCTGTTCCTATCTTTTCAAAAGTATGAGAAAACACTTATGAATAGTGTGATAACTATGATATCTTTAAAATTTTTGTTTACCTATATGCTCTTATTGATATGATGTTAATTGCCTCTAAGCCTTTTCTTGTATGATTTAAAAATTTAACACTTAATAATAGTGTTTGGACAATTTTACTCTATAAAATGTTTATTTACTTAATTGCCCTCAATATCCTCATTAATGTTATTTTTTTTTACTTCTAAGAATAGTGTGTGGAGTGTGGACATTTATACCTAAAAATATTTGTTTACATATTTTTACTCATTATGTTGTCAATTGAAAGAGCGCCCCAAACAAGACTAGATATGGCGCTCTCATCGCACGCGTTAGCCACCCTAGCTATATAATAAAAAAATACATATATATATTTTATTAATAATATTTAGTCAAAGTTAGTGTATAAATAGTGCAAAAGTCAAAGTGGTGTTACTTAAAAAATAAGAGTTAGTACAATAAATGTTCAAACATCCATGTCAAAGCTACTCCCACATCCTAATTTATGTGGCTAATATAACTAAAACCATACTGGGCCATATGTTGCCATACTGTTTCCTCCAAGACTGTCAGGGTGCTTACTATCTTGGTATAAATTGGGTACGGGAGGCTCCAGTGTAATATTATCTTCTTACTGAGGAGGGATGTAATGATGTTTCACTGCTGTTGTTTAACTTGGTATTATATGACTCAGATCTAATTGCTGTCTAAATTAAACCTGATGGTGTTCTATTGTGGCTGAGGCCTTTTTTGTTATATAAACAGGTTTTTGAATCACTCTCATTTTCGATACTTGTCTTAATGTATGTCATAACTTGTGCTGATTCTATGCCTCTTGAAGCCCATGAGTGTTGCAATATATAGGCTGACAAGTTTCAATCCTGTGCAGTTTTTTGATGGTTTGGGTAGATAGATGTCTTATTAAGTATCCTTGATCAACTTCTTTTGGCTATATCCTATCCCCATGGGAGAGTCAAATTCCACTGCCTCCTTGGAAGTGATATTCTGAAATTATGAATCACTATACGGTTACATAGAAATAACTATGTTTTTATGTTAATATGAACCGTACAAATCCTTTGTTTGTGTATTGTTTATGGTTACTGGTATACTTCTCATCAGGTGGACCAAGGAAAGGGCACGTGAGAGATCTCCTCATATGTCTTCAGGAGAGAGTGCATTGGAAAGAAGATCTCTTGATTATCAAAGGGAAGATTCTATCGAGAGCATGGAAGGTAAGCACAGTCCCAAATCGTTCTCTGCCACTCCCTTGGAAGATGTTCGAGAAGGAAGTTCGGAAAGGAAAGCTGCTGCAGTGGAAGATAATAAAGCTGATGTGGATTCTGGAAAAAGAAAAGATGACTCTAGTGTGATTTCTTCTAGTAATACCTCAAAGGAAAAACAGAATCTAAGTCAGTCAAAGCAACTAAAACTAAGTTCTCAAGTTGAGCCACAAGAAAATAATGAACTTGATGAAGTGGGCGACTTTAAGGCTTCCAGAAGTAGTGACAACAGTAAGGCAACTGGAAGCAGCAGAGATCATCAAAAGTGGCGTGAGGGTGTTGATGAAGAAGTTGTGCAAAATGGGCGCTCCTCCTACCCAGGTGATGTCAAGCGGAATCATGGTGAAGGTGGACATGATTCGCGGAGAAAAGATCGTGAGGGGAGAGTGGAGATGGAAAGAAATTACATTTTAGCAAAAGGAAGGGAGGAATATTATTCTCATCGAGAGTGGGATCCTCTTGCGGTCAACCATTTCCATGCAAGATCAGAAAGTAGTGACCGGAGGAAAGAGAGGGATCTCTCCGAAGCTGGCTGGCAACGACGAGATGAAGATCCACATGGACGGAGGATTAGAGCTGAAGATGCTAGGAAGCAGGAGCGTGCTGATGAAATGGTATCTAGGCGTAGGAGTAAGGCCAGGGAAGTTGATAGAAGCGACAAAGATGAATATCTTCATTCAAGAAAAGTTATAGATAATGGTATTTGGAGAGGTTATCATGACAAAGATGTAGGATTTCGTTACAGGGAGAAGGATGATGTTTCAAAAAGTCGACACGAGATCTTGGATGATCATCACATTAAGAGACGGAAAGATGATGAGCATGCAAGAAGGGATCATGTTGAAAAAGATGACCACTTGCTTTCTCACAGAGACAGCAGCAGCACTCGTCGAAAGCGAGAAAGAGACGGGATCCTAAGTTTACGGAAGCGAGAAGATCAACCAAGGATTAGAGACAACATGGATGATCATCATTTGGTTAGGCTTAAGGATGATGTTTGGGTACAGAAGGAGAGGGAGAGGGCTGAGCAGCAAAGAGATAGAGACGAATGGTATCGGGCTAAACAGTCTTATGAGGAAACTTTGTCCAGAAGGGAGAGAGAAGATGGAAGAGCTCCTATCAGAAGCAGTAGGAATGTAGAAGAAAAGATATGGGTTGGCCATTCTCGTGTAGAGGAGTACAAGGGTCACGATAAAGATACAGGAAGGCATGGTGAACAGCTTAAGAGGAGGGAGAGAGTTGAAGAAGAGCCTAGTTTGCAACACAGAGGAGGTGAGGATGCTTATGCACGTGGAAATCAATTTGTTAGTGAGGGGAAAAGATCAAGGCAAGAGAGGTCCAGTGCTCGAAATAATCGTGCCATTGATTCTTCAGAAAGCCTGAGGTTGCATGAGAAAAAGCACAAAGAAAATGTCAAAAGGACTAGAGAATCTGAAGGCCACAATACTTCAGGGTCATCCAAGAGATATCAGGGAGAAAAAGGCTTAGCAAATGAGATGGTACGTTCTATATAATTCCCTAATTTTGGTTTCTCATTTACGCTGATCCACCTTATTTAAATTGACAGAATCTAAATTTAGGCTCCTTATAGGGAATAGATTCTTGTTGTAATTGTGGAAAAGGGTTTGCTGTTATGTGATGCAACTCTGCAAGATGCAAATTAAAATTGGTCGTTGACCTTATCAGGCAAATTTATTGGGTCAGTGCTTGTTGGGTAGGTAGAGAGTAGCATGTTGTTACTAGTCCCTGGATGAAGTAACTTTATTTTTTTTTTGTCTTGCTAAATTCATTTTCATCTATTTGAACTTATAATTCAGGGGGTATATGGTTGCGCTTCAGGTATGGGTTGGAACTATCTAATTCATACCACATGTTTTATAACTTTTATTTATGCCATGCAATTGCATAACTGATACTTGTAGTGCCTATGATATGGGTTTTTCAAACCTTGAGGAAGAAGGGTACTCGTCCAAATCTCAACCTATGTAATCAACATAAAAATCATTCAACACTTTGAACTGTCACCTCCCATACAACCAACTTGATGATTGTTATTGACCACCACAATCCTTTGGTTTTTAGCAAGATCAACTATCAAAGTTATATGCTTCACCTAATTTTGGATATTGAGAACAAAGAGAGGATGTTGTAGAGGTGGGGGAGAGGGATGTGGTTAAAAGGGGTGGGGGAAAAGGTGGTGGGGGAAAGGGATGTGGTTAAGGAGATGGGGAAGAAGGTGCCCGGGGGGAGGGAGGGGGGGGGGGGGAGGAGGGAGAGGGATGTGGTTAAAGGTTTGGGGGAAATGGATGTGGTTAAGGAGGTTGGGGAGAGGGATGTGGTAAAGGAGGTTAAGATGTTAAAAATGAGGGAGGGGTGAAAGAGGAGAAGGAGAACTGGGATGCGGTTGAGATAGGGGAGGTGGCAGAAGAGGGTTGGAAGATGGAAGTAGGTTAAGACGATGGTTGATTTTGGTTTTACTCTTGGCTTAATACCTGATACTAGGAAGCAAATCAAATAGTCTTTTATTTATGTTTTTTTAACAAGGTTGGTTTTGTTTATCTTTCTAACTGCCTCTGAGTGGTAGAATTGTCTGATGATTTGAGTAGTTAATACAAGAGGTAAAAATAAATGTCACGCGTGACCATCGAATATTCCATAACTTATAGCTTGGGATTTACAGCAGCTTTTGGTGTAATGTTCCCTAAATACCTGCTTTATGAAAGCTTTGTTTCAGCAATCGCATCTGGCTTTCTATTTTGCGTCAAAACCTTATAATTGCTCATGTGATGAAAAGTATTGCATCATATCTGTATGGTTTTTTCTATTTTTTTTTAAAACCTGCTTGAGAAGAGTTGTTTACTATGTGGATTATTTTTATTCCCATATATATATGCATAACTTCCTTTCATGTCTATGTGAAGTCTACCTTTTTTCAATATATGATTTGCGTTTGGTAGGCTGATATCAAGGGCAGGAGTGAACAATCTATGGTTGAGCATGATACCTCATTGCACAATCTTACTGGAGAGGTGGGAGGAGATGTTTCCTCCGATGATGAGCTGCATGATTCAAAGAGAGGGCGGTCCAAGCTAGAACGCTGGACAAGTCATAAGGATAGGGATTATGATCTCTACTCAAAGTCATCATCTTTGAAGAATAAGGAAATTAGCAAGAATAAAAATACTAGCTCTGGATCATCTTTTGGTGTTCATGATGAGATTGCCAAGAAGGTTGAGGCTTGTGATAGTATTCAGCCTTTGGCTGGAGGAAAAGAGGTTGGAGGTTCAGAGGGGAAGGATGGAGATGAAAGAGCATTGGATGGTCGCCACCTGGATACAGTTGAGAAATTGAAGAGGCGGAGTGAACGTTTCAAGCTTCCATTGACAAGTGAGAAGGATCCATTGGCAATCAAGAAGATGGAGAGTGAACCTTTGCCCTCCCCTCAAAATGATACTCCCGCAAATGCTGAAGTCAAACATGAGCGGCCACCCAGGAAAAGAAGATGGATTGGCAGCTAAAGGCACGAGTATATAGCATTCATTTGCTGTTCACTTGGCCCTATTTCTGGCTTGCCTTCTGGTAGGCCAGAGAGCTTATCCAGAAATGTGAAGATCCCATATGTAACGGCTTCTAACTTACCAAGATGTAGCATTTACAAGTTGGGACAATGTACAATCCAAGTTAATTGGGATTTATTTTGTGCCAATGGTACCACTGTATGCTTTTCTAATTGTAATGTGTAAATCCTGAATGTAAAACTGAAATCTGAATCTGTCATTGATGATGTTGGTGGCACAGCTTGTGTTTGGTGCTTCCAATTAATGATACCATTTGTGGACTGTTGATCCAATGAAAGATCAATTGCTGGAAAGGACCGCCAGTTGATCGAAAGGACTACATGCAGGGCTTCGACATGAATGGATTGGAAGCCAGTAGCTGTGACGGCTTTGCCAGACTGTTACAGAACGGGTCTTAAAAGCTGAAAGTTCTGCTTGTTTTTGAAGCAGAATACTTCTCACTTGATGATTGTGAGATTTCTTTTCTGTACTTCAATGTATTTCTGATTTAGTTCACGCCCAAAGTAAACATTTAGAGTCTTATATGTTTGCTTGTTAGATTACCATAGTACACATTCGGAAGTTTCTTACACAGTGAAGAATACGAGTTTACTGCAAATGATACAGGAAAATGTTTTTGTAAGGTAGTGTATCCCTCTTATAGACTTGTAGTCATGTAGGTATTTTAAGTGATTTTCTTATAACATATGCCCAAAATCTTAGACGCTGTAATAACATATACATATATTGATATATAAGAAGGCTAGTATATATCTCTTCTGTTCTTTTTTACTTGATCCACTTTGACGTTTATGCTATTTACCATTCCTCATTGGACCATATTTTGTGAGTAATATGGAAGGAAAAAACATATTCATATAGGATCTTTTTAAATTTGTCTCAATAAGTACTATCATAATATTTAGTTGTGGAGAATTATAGCTACTGATTGTTAAAATTTTGCTTTGATAAGCATGATAAAAGAAACAAATTAATTTAAAAAAAAAAAACGGAGGAAGTACAAAACTTGGCCACCATATTAATAAACAAATAAATATACTAAAACCTCAACTTTGGTCACCACTCACCACATTAGTCCATCATTTAACCATTGAAAATGCAGGTAAAACTCAGAACAATAAGGATTATTTAAACTCGGTAAAAATCAAGTGAGGATTACAGGATCATCATTATTTCACATGCAACAATCATATGTACGTGATACGGTGATAGGGAAATGCACATATGTAATAATCAAATACTCCTTTCTTTTCTAATTGTTAGGGCCTGTTCTCATATATTGAACTCAGCTGAACTGAATTGAGTTGAGCTGAACTGAAGTGAACTGAACTGAAAATAAACATATGAGAATTGAGAACAGGCCCTTAGTCTCATATTTTAATTTGATCGTTTCAAAAAAAAAAAAAAAAAAACTACCCATATTAAGGGCCTGCTCTCATACATTTTTTTTTCAGTTCAGTTTAGTTCAGTTTAGCTTCTAATTTCCTTATCTTATAAAATATTCATTTCAGTTCAGTTCAGTTCAATTCAGCTCAATTCATTTTAGCTGAGTTCAGTCAATGAGAACATGCCCTAAATACTTTCTCCGTTTCTTTATAGTTCAACACTTCCTAAAATGAAAATGTCACAATAGTTGCAACTAGACTTGGTTATTGGGCGGGTCGGGTTAGAGTCAGTGCGGTTCAGTTGCGGGTCGAGTCAAAGTGGGTCACATTTTATAAAGGTCAACATCGGATCGCGGGTCAATAGAGGGTCGATAATGGGCAAGCCTACAAAATATCAATTAAAATAAATATTGGACAAAGCCATTAATAAGTATACATGGATACAAATTTATCTATATTTAATTATTTTTACATTATCTATTTTCTTTATCAATTAAATTGAAAAAATGTTTTAGCCCTATGTTGACCCTACCCAACAAGAGCCCTATCCATTAAAGGCCATGTCCATTAAGAGCCCTTTAAGCTTGGCCTTAACCCTATTATCATTGAGCTACCCTACCCAATAACCAGCTCTAGTTGCAACACAACATAAAAAAAAAAAAAATTTACGGTGAAAATTGTATTATTACCTTGGAAAATTCTACATTATAACCTTGAAGATTTTGAAATTCTACACTGTGTCCATGATTTTTGAAAAGTCTACACTATAACCCCAAGGTCTACATAGTTATTCTTCCCCATAACTGCAGTGATAAATTTAGGTGACACCGAACATAGAAATAACATAGAAATTCAGACATTATTCATGTTCCTATATTATATGTCAGAATTTACTCAAACTCCTGAAGAATTGGTGCTAAATTGTAAGGAATTCAGACCAATATTTATAGATCTGCTATTTCTCAACCAGTGCATTTTTCTGCAATGATAAGTTTATGCAACAACGCTTATATAATGACTAATAACATAGAATTTATGCATCCGAATGCATAAAATCAACTATTCAATTTGAAGCCATGCCAAAGGTCAATGCAAAGTACTAGATAAACACTAGACTACTAGATGTTTACAATCTAATCACTACTTTCTCTGCTCTTCTGATTTTATTAAACCCTAAAACCCTAAACTTTAAACTAAAAAAAACCAAAAAAAAAAAAAACATAAATTCGAAGATAAACCATACTTGTTATCAATTCTAAACATTAAACCCTAAAACCCTAAACTTTAAACTAAAAAAAACCAAAAAAAAAAACATAAATTTGAAAGAAATTCGAAAATAAACCAAAAAAGAAAAACATAAATTCGAAAACATTGAAGTAAAAAAAAGAAATTCAACATGCAAACATCAAATAATCATTATAAGCAATTGAAACATGAATAAACATATAAATTCTAACACTTAATTCATTATTTCGAATACAAAATACCCAAACATAATTAGATAATTTAGATTTACATTAAAAAAAAAAAATAACTTACCGGAGAAATGGAAAATCGCGCAGTAGCTGTCTCATGCGGTGGTCGGTGGGAGCCTGGGCTTCGCCTGAGAGAGTGAGGAAGGCAGGAGGTGTCGGCGGTGGGCGTTGCCTCGTTGGGCTGAGACTGGAGACAGTGAGCGTGAGGGAGAGGGGGAGACAGCCTGTTTGTTAGGGTTAGAATGAAATGAAAGAGAACTGAAGCGTCACTCAAGCAGCAGCGTTATTTTGATTTTTTAATTTTTTTTTTTTTTTTTTTTTTTTTTTTTTTTAAAAAAATACAATTTTTCCGGGTTTCAGGTCCGAACCTGAAAACCCCGGGTTTAGACCGGGTCCGGACCGGAACCGGGAACCTTGATTTTTAAGGACCGGGACCGGACCTGAATCAACAGGTCCGGGTCAGGTCCGGTCCGGATCAGGTCGGTTCAGGTCCGGTTTCAGGTCCGGTCCAGTTTTTGTACACCCCTATCCGTTAGTATGTTCTGTTATCTTCAAAAAAAAATAATAATAAAAAAATCAAAACCACCAACCCCAGCCACCCACAGCCAGCCGCTGCAACCGACGACCAGACTTACCCTCAACCTCAACCAGCGATCGCCGCCCAGACCCCTTCCCCTCCCCCGGTGTCGGCGATGCCCAGACCACCCTCCTCTTTCCCCGTAAAATCTCGCATACCCTTCCCCCTCCCCTCGAAAAAACCTTAAATAGCCTCCCCAATCGCCGAAAACTCGGAAAGCATTGAGCTGCACCTCTCCTCACCCTCACCGCCACCTCCGCCGCCGTAGCCTTCTGCTCTTATTCCTTTTCTCTCTCTCTTAGCCATAGCCTTCTACTGCCATAGGTTAACAGAAGGCTAGGGATATGGTTTGGAATTTGGGGGTTGGGATTTGGGAGAATTCGCTGGATTTCGTGGTGTTCGAAAGGGTAAGAGGAGGTGGTCGAGGCAGCACCAACATCGGGGGAGGGGAAGGAGTCTGGGCGGTGGCCGACGCTCCGGGGGAAAAGGGGATGGGCTGGTGGTGGCAGCGGGCTGGGTGGTTTTGGTTTTTTTTTTTATTATTATTTATTTATTTTATTATATTGTTTTTTTTGTAAGCCAATCATACGTTGCTTCGTTAAAGATAACGGAACATACTAACAGAGATTTAGTGTCAAGGGTACACCAAAGTCACTAAGTGGACCTTGGGGTTATAATGTAGACTTTTTAAAAACCATGGACACAACGTAGAATTTCGAAGTCTTTAAGGTTATAATATAGAATTTCAATTCCCTATTACCTTTATTTAAAACATATGACCCACTTGATTATACTCTTAACAACATATTAACCTCATTTTAAGTGTATTATATCATTCGAAATCCACTTTTCTTAAATACCGTGATAAAGTGTGTGTTGCAACTATAAAGAAACAGAGAAAACATTTTTCATTTTTAACTTAACTTTTTTTTTTCTTCCAATTTAACCCATATTAAATATTTTCAAAGCTAGTAATTTTGCGAATTAAAGGCAAATTAGTTGATTAAATTTCAAAAGAATTTTGATTGGTTAAATTAATTGATAATAGATTGATGATGCCATGACTCTAAGTAAGGAAATCTCTCACTTGAATGCATTCAATTTTGGCTGATACTTTCCCAAAAAATAAATAAATAAATAAATAAGGCAAAACTAATCATGAGCTGTTTTTGTACTTTGATTTTAGATTTTAAATATTCTTCTTTTCTTGTTGTACGGGAGTGATTCCATATACTATCATATGAAAACGGAAGGAGTATCAACTACTGAGTTAGAGTACTTTAATTTGGATTTGAATCATTTTTATTTAATGCATGTAGTAAATGTGCAGAAAAATTGTTTCATTCCATATAATAAGACATTCAATTTTTTACCCTTTTTGTGTAGTAATTTTGGTCTAATACAAGTATACAACCTTATGCCATGAAATTTTAAACTAATAGTTAATTCCTAAAACATAGTAACTATATCTTAATTGCTTTTGTATCTTCCACTTCCATTCATATTCCTCTGTATGCTTGGAATTATTCCTTCATTTTTATACAGTGTAGCTTTGTTGAATGGTATCAATGTCCAATCCCTTGGTCTTAACCACAGACTCAACGCGTCCCTTTAAAGTGTGCAATTCCTGCAGCCTGCACTCAAATAACTTCATTCATTGATATTTGTTTGAACCATTTGCAATTTTACGTGATTAAAAATTATATTTGGGGATCATGCTCACATCCTTAGCAAAGAAATTGAATTTATACATTTTTAGCATACAAAAAACAAAATTTAGTCATGAATAAAATTGTTTTGCATTATGCTTTGCAAAAGATATCTCCTAAAGACAAAATCCCAATGAAATTATAAGCGTATAAAATACTTGAAAAAGAAGACTAAATTATGAGGGAGCCCAGTTAATCTCTGGGATAAACTCATCATCACCGTGGGACCCACTTTTATTGAAAAAGTTGTTGATTTATTTATAAAACTGTGATGTGATAAACAAAATTTGTGTATCTCAAAGATTAACTTGTATTTACCCCTAAATTATAACCTAAAGATTAGATATACCTTGCCATTTCAGCTCGCTTTTTGGCTTGCTCAGCTATCTCAGACAGTTCTCGATAGTTATTGGTGTCATTCAACAAGCCATCATTTGCAGGTGATTGGAGACCATGAAGGGTACGTTGAGCTACGACCCACTGCACCTCTCGTTCCCCCTTGCCATAATCTCTTTTCGTGGTGAAAGCTGTCTACAAAATATGGAATTAAATATGTGTGAAATACTTAAATAGGGGAAATTCCCTATTTCTCACCGAAATTTATTTCTCATGGGGACATTTTCGTGAATAATAACAATTTTTTCATTATTGTGGGCTCCACATTTAAATAAAGTTGTTGGTTTATTTACGAAAATGTCATATGAGAAATAAAATTTGTTTCTTAGCATGAGAAATTAGGGCATCTTCAATAATATGAGCATTAAATTGGTGTAGTATGGTTCAATGCTACCTTATTTTGGATCATGTTGTCCCATGCTTGACCTGTTAAGGAGTAACGAGCGACAAATTTAAGGATGTCAAGGGGTATGTATGTGACAATGCTGTAGAGCCAAATGACCCCAGCCCATCCCCATCCAATACCAGTCACCCTAGCAAAGTCCCACTCAGCGTATACTGCAATGAGTGTAGCTACTAGTTGAGCAGCAAGGAAGGCAAACATTAGAAGAATACCCGGTCGTTCTACAAAAGACCAACTCCTTGATCGGGTAACAAATATGAGCGCTTGACTGATGATACTCACTTGAAGGTATAGAGCTGCTGTTAGTTCATCATCATTGGCCTTGATTGGTCTTACACCGAACCAATCCTACACAACAAACATATTACAAGTTAGATAAGAACCAACTCAATCAAAAACTTAAGCTGATGGTTGAGGCCCAGGATTATGTTTTATAAGGCCTAGGATTATGTTTTATACTCTATCAGTTATATTAGTTGATTATTAGTAGCATGGTGATTGACTCACAGTGAATAGTTGAGTATCATGTGCCATAAAGAAAAATACAACAGTAGTGAGAGCCATGTAACTGCCAAGAATGATTCCAGTGACAAAGATCTCATTTAGTTTCCAGGAATTCGGCACTGGTGAGGGCTTCACCCTATCCTTAGATATTGTCATTATGGTACCGTCGTTGAGGATGGCAATGATCAAGACCATGAAAGGAGGAAAGTCGTATTTCCATATAAGGACAACTAGCAGAAATCCAAACACTATACGAATAGTAATTGAAACGGCGTATATGGTATAATTCTTCATCCTTTGAAAGATGGCCCTACTAGTCAATACTGCACTAATTATCACACTTAGGCCTGGCTCGGTTAACACTATGTCTGATGCACTTCTAGCTGCATCTGTTGCATCATCCACCGCGATACCAATGTCTGCCTTCTTTAGTGCAGGGGCATCATTCACACCATCTCCAGTCATACCGCAAATGTGATTTCTTTCTTGCAGCTTTTTTACAATTTCATACTTGTGTTCTGCATATAATGTATTGGGGGTTATGAAAAACAAGATAAGCCATTATATTGGTTTTGAATTTTAATTTGAGAAATGCAACAAAGGTACGTGTTATACCGGGGAACACTCCAGCAAAACCATCAGCCTTTTCGATGAGCTCTTCTACAGGAATCGAAGCAATAGACTCGTCCATGTTTTGTCCTACAAGGGTAGAAGAAGGATACATGTTGGTGCCCATGCCAAGCCTACGACCAGTCTCCTTTCCTATAGCAAGCTGGTCACCAGTGATCATCTTAACATTGACACCGAGATCAAGTGCCCGACGAATAGTCTCTGCACTGTCATGTCTTGGGGGATCAAAAAGTGGCAAGAGGCCTACAAACTCCCATGGGCTGCCACTACTCTCCTTAGTTTTCTCTGGCACGGTCTAAGCCAAGATAGAGGAAATTTAAGTTTGTTTTAATAAAACACTTATTAAATATTTGCAACGATTTGACATAAAGTAGAGAGGATAAATGTCTAACCGTTGCAAATAATATGAAACAGAGGTTGTAAAAGGAAATAATACTCTGTTTCTTTTTTCCCTTTGAAAAAGAATAAAAAAAAAAAAAAAAAAAAAAAAAAAAACATGCATTACCTGCCTAGCAATAGCTAAAGATCTTAGTCCACGATCAGCATAACTATCAATCACAGCATGAGCCTTTTTTAAAGCCTCACCCTTGAGGTCACAAAGCTCAATGATCTGTACAAGGTACAAAAAGAGGGGAAAAAAGAATAAAAGATAAATTTTTTTATAAAAACTAAATTACCTTAGAGTATAAAAAATATCCATTTCTTTTCTCTTGGTACGTAGATATTACCTGTTCGGGAGCACCTTTGCTAACCCTATGCCAAATTCCGTTTGGGTCGATGTAAGTAATGGCAGTACGCTTTTCTACAGGATTGAAAGGTAGGAAATGTATCTCTTCTATTCCTTCTCTTGCCTACAAGACTCAAGAAATTTTGAACAAGTTAAATCTACAACTTAATATAACAGTAGTTGATCTGATCAAACAAAACATATATGTAGTATATATTGAGAAATTTGTATATTTATTGTTAGTGTAATATATATGTACCTCTTTAGGATCACTTAACATCCCAACTATGCAAGCATCAATGGCATCTTGATTTTCAACTCTAGAGGCACGCGCACCTAACAAGACCACATTGTCCCTGTCTACACCCTTGGAGAAGACCTCAATAAGGGCCTTGTCAACAGTTAATTTATTAAGAGTAAGGGTACCGGTTTTGTCGCTACAGAGGACATCCATACCAGCCATTTCTTCAATGGCTGTCATCCTCTTGGTGATAGCTCCCTGTTGGGATAATCGATGAGAGCCAATAGCCATTGTCACAGACAACACCGTGGGCATCGCAATTGGAATCCCTCCGATTAGAAGAACCAAGAGGTTGTCAATCCCTTCCCTGTACCTTCTATGTTGGATGGGAAACATCACTATAATCTCAATCAACATACCAACAGCAATGGAGACGATGCAAAAGTTACCAATGGAAGTCAACACCTGTATATCATATCACATTGATTCAACAAATTTATTAAATACGAAGAGAGTTTAATTATCTTTAAGAATAGAAAATTGATAATCATTACCTTTTGAAAATGGCCAACATGGTTGGTGCTATCCACCAAGTGAGCAGCTTTGCCAAAGAAAGTGTGGACACCGGTAGCAATGACAATAGCCTCAATTTCACCTTGTTTGCAGGTTGAACCGGAGAAGACTCCGCTACCAGGGCTCTTAGTGACAGGCAATGATTCACCGGTAAGGGCAGCTTGATCTACCTTCAAGGGATCCCCTTCTAAGAGTCGAGCATCTGCCGGAATAATATCTCCCAACTTAATACTAATAATATCTCCAGGAACTAGAATCGATGCATCTTCCTCGCCCCATTTGCCATCTCTTAATACCTGGGCACACACATACACATACACATACACATTAAATTAAAACAAATACTCCTACTATATAAGTTAAATTAAATTAATGGTACCTTTGTTTTGGGAGCAAGATTGGCCATTAGAGAGGCAGCAGCATTCCCTGCATTGTTTTCTTCGATGAAACTAATGGTTGAGTTGATTACAAGTAGGACAACAATTCCAACAAAGTCTTGCCAATCTGGAGGTCTGCCTCCTCCATTTGCTAAAACAATAGCCATGATAGCAGCCAACTCCATCACCCATGATAAAGGATTCCACATGAACCCCAGAAATTTCAGTATTTTGGATTCCTGCACAATTGTTTTATTCTTATTCATGCATTCCATACATGTTACAAGTATATATAATATAAAGCTTGACAATAATAAATTAAAACAAATCATATACGTAGTATGTATGTTTCTTGCCTTCTTTTCCTCAAGTTTGTTTGGGCCAAATATTTTGAGCCTATCATTCTTTTCTGTGGAGCTTAAGCCTTCTTTGGTACATTTCAATAGTTGAAATACTTCTTCCACTGGGATTTGCTCCTATATTATATTAAAACCCATGCATTCACCGTTAGACACTTTTTTATTTTTTATTTTATACTAGATTGTATTCGTGCTAACTCACGGTATGTAAGATGTGAAAGTTAATAGAACAAAAAATGAAAAAGTGGAAGTCATTTAATTGGGGGTGTTATAGCAAAAAAGGAAAAAAAAAAAAACTCAAATGCGAGATTTAAGAATTAGCATTTTGAAGAGTTGCGGTTAAATCACTCTGCAATTATATACGAGATATATATATTCCGCAATTTAAAATTGTTGGTACTTACAAGATCGACATTCTCGTTCTTTATTTGCTCTAGAGAGAGTTCTCCACTAGAGCCCATTTGGAAGGATGGGAAGAGAGAGACTTCCCTCTCTTCAATCAAATATTATGCACCTAATGACGAATAACATACACAAACTTAATATCTATCTTTATTTTTTCCAATTTATAATTTTATTTTATCCCCCAATAAGAAGGCCTGTTGTCTTATGATTGGAAAGGAGAGAGCAAAAGTTGGAATAACTTAGAAACAAGACAAACAAAATAGAATAGTACTCTTAGATGTTAGGTCGATTCCTTATTCTTTGGAGGACAACAAATATGTCTTATTATAATTATATGTATTTGATGGTTTTAGCTTTTTTTTCGGGATGCCTAATTTTGAACATTAGATGGTTGGTATCAAACATTTACTTATTTAGAGAATCGATTTTTCCCTCACAAATATTTGACACCCTTTCTACGCCTTCCACGAAATAAAAGACACCAAATTATCATTTGTGATAATTAAATCACTGTATCTATAATACAATAAGGTTTCGTTATATTTTATTTTCTATCTACATTATTAATAATTTAATCTAACATTATTCATTTATGAATTATATGGAATTTTCAATCCTCCTATTATAATAATTCAATCTAACATTATCCATTTATGAATTATATGGAATTTTCGATCCTCCTTGGTTTACATACGTTAGAAAGTTACTCTAACCACACTTTAATTAGCCAGTTTTGTATTTGGTAAACCACACCGATTGTTAAAAAAAAAAAAGTAATCCCCCCTATAACACTAACCAAAAAACTTCTTTGACACTGACCAAATAACCCCTATATAATTGACGAAGTAACCTCATGTAACACTGACTGAGTAACCTCTATAACACTAATAGAGTAATCCCATTATAGCAGGCCACACAATGTGACGAGCAACATATAAGAATTTGTGCACTTTGATTATTAGGATAGTAATATTATTTTCTTTTCGGATTAAATTTAGAAAATGACAATGGTGCCCGAATGGATGATCACAATATATTATAAAACACTATGCACAACTAAAATTCGGTCAAATTAAATTGCGACCATTTTTGTACGGCCGTCATTAAAACGGTTGCAAAATATAAAATATGCGGCCGATTTTTACGCAGTCACAGTATTGCAACCGTTTTCAAAGCGCTTGTAGATTTGGTTCATGGTACTAAAATCTAAGCAAGGGTCTAATTAAGCTGGCCAATCTCAAACTTGGGATAGTAAACTTCAATTAATTTGGTTTGTGGTACTAATATCTAAGCAAGAGTCTAATTTGGGTGTTTTTAAACTTTACAGCTCAAATATCTCAAAATTAATTATGTTGACCTAAACTTAATTGAAGGCTAATATCTACGATTTTTGAGTAATTTTAGAGGTTTCAGGGCCCGGTGTCGAAAAGCCTTAAGATTTCAAGGGATACATCACAGGGTCATATAATACCGTTTGGAACCATATAAGATCATTATATGTTGTCATAAATGTTTGTGGTAGGCTTGAGTTAATGAAATCAGTGCAAGTTGCTAGTAAATTGGCTGTTTACAGGAAAATTCGATGGTTCCACCAACCTAATTGGATTCCCGGAGGGTATTAGGGACCATGGTAAACATTTTTATTTTCAGGCGAAAAAAAGTCAAAAAAATTCCAAAATTGAAGTCTAATATCCACGCTTTTTGAGAAATTTTGGAGGTTTCGCCTCCCGTGTTGAAAAGTCTTGAAATTATTGGGGATACATGTAGGGGGCATATAATGTCGTTGGGAATCATATATGATCATTATTTGTTGTCATAAATGTTCGTGGTAGACTTAAGTTAATGAAATCGGTGCAAATTGTAAGCCGGTAAATTGGTTGTTTAAAGGCAAATTGGATGGTTCCACCCAATCGATGGGACTCCCGGAGGGTATTAGGGACCATGGTAAAAATTTCGGAAATTTTTATTTTCGGGCGAAAAAAAAGTCAAAAAATTACAAAATTAAAGTCTAATATCCACGCTTTTTGATAAATTTAGAGGTTTCAAGGCCCGGTGATGAAAAGTCTTGAAATTTTGGGAAATACATCGCGGGGTCATATAATATCGTTTGAAACCATATATAACCATTATTTGTTGTCATAAATGTTCGTGCACTACGTGAAAAAAGGAATTTGGCACCGGTTCAAACTCGGCCTAAGGCACCGGTGCCTATGTGAGGGGTGCCAAAAAGGGTTATTAAAAGGCACAGGTTCGAACCGGTGCCAAAAATCGTAATTGGCACCGGTTAACCGGTGCCAAAAATGGCCAAAAAAAATAATTTTGTTGTTTTTGGCACCGGTTAACCGGTGCCAAAAGTGCCAAAAAATATAATTTTTTTTTTTTGTTTTTTTTTTGTTTTTTCCACTTAAAAATTAATTAGTCTAAAATACATAACAACATCAAAACGTAATATAAATCGATTAAAACATCATCAATATCTTCGAAAATTGCAACATCAATATCATCGAAAATTTGCAAATTTACAATACATAATAAAAAAAAATACAACATATAAATACAAAAAAAAATTACAACATATAAATACAAAAAAGAAATTACGATATAAATTTTAAAAAAAATTACAATATTGTTAATAAAAAAACAAAACAAAAACACCATTCTTGTATCTTGCTTCTTCGATTTCATATCTGAATCTGCACCAATTATTAAAAAAAAAAAACATTAATACAATTAAGCTTCGAAAAAAAAAACCCAGAATTTAATCCCAAAAATTGAAAAAAAAATTCAAACCCAATATGAAAAACCAAAACCCAGAAACCCAATTTGAAAAACCAAAACGCAAAAACAAAAACCCAGAAACGCAAAAACAAAAACCCGAAAACGCAAAAACAAAAACCCAGAAACCCAATCTGAAAACAAAAATTGAAATCGAACAAAACCCTTATTATTTGGATTTTAATCGACAAAAACCCAGAAACGCAAAAAAAAATTGAAACAAAAAACCCGTTGAAACCCAGAAACGCAAAAAAATTCATACAAAAAACCCTTAATGTTGTTGTTGTTGTTGTTACGATGGTGAAACCCTTGTTGTTGCGGTGGTGTTGTTGTTGTTGTTGTGGTGGTGGTGTTGTTCTTGTTGCGGTGGTGTTGTTGCGGTGGTGGTGTTGTTCTTGTTGCAGTGGTGTTGTTGTTGTTGTAGAGAAAGAGAAGTGAATGGGACGGAGAGATCGAGGAGAGAGAAGGGAGAGGAGAGGAGAGGAGAGAGTGAAAGAGGCGGATTGAGAGGAGAGAGAGGAGCAAGGTGCGCTTTAGGGTTTTAAGGAGAGATAAGGCCGGTTTTTTTTTAAATAATTAAAAGGTTCGGTTCACAAAGGCACCGGTTCAAACCGGTGGCCTTTATGTTTTAGGCACCGGTTTGAAGTAAACCGGTGCCTTTTACTCTGGTTTACCTTCCCACCAATTTTGTAGCCCATTTTTGGCACCGGTTTGGACTGAACCGGTGCCAATTAGGGGGTGCCTTTTTGATATTTTCTACTAGTGGTGGTAGACTTGAGTTAATAAAATCTATCGGTGCAAGTTGTAAACCGATAAATTGACCGTTTAAAGGCAAATTGGATGGTTCCACCCACCTAATTGGATTTCCGGAGGGTATTATGGAATATGGTAAACATTTTGGCAATTTTTATTTTCGGCCAAAAAAAAGTCAAAAAATTCCAAAATTGAAGTCTAATATCCACGTTTTTTGAGAAATTTTAGAGGTTTTGGGCCCGTTGTTGAAAAGTCTTGATATTTTAGGGAATACATCTCGGGGTCATATAATGTGGTTTGGAACCATATATGATCATTATTTGTTGGCATAAATGTTCGTGGTAGGCTTGAATTAATGAAATCGGTGCAAGTTGTAAACTAGTAAATTGGTCATTTAAAGGCAAATTGGATGGTTCCACCCACCCAATTAGACTCTCGGAGGGTATTAGGGACCATAATAATCATTTCAGAAATTTTTATTTCTTGACGAAAAAAGTCAATAACTTCAAAAATTGAACGCTAATATCCCACCTTTTTGAGAAATTTTGAAGTCTTAAGGTCCTGGTTTCTAAAACCCTCGAAATTCTAGGGAATACATCTTGGGGTCAAATAATGTCGTTTGGAACCATATGTGATCATACTTTGTAGTCATAAATGTTCGTGGTAGGCTTGGGTTGATGAAATCGGTGCAAGTTGTAAACTGGTAAATTATTCGTTTCAAGGAAAATTGGATAGTTCCACCCACCCAATAGGACTTCCGGAGGGTATTAGGGACCATGGTAAACATTTCGGCAATTTTTATTTTTGGGTAAAAGAAGTAAAAAAATTCCATAATTGAAGGCTAAGATCCTCGCTTTTTGAGAAATTTTTGAGGTTTAGAGGGCAGGTGTCGAAAAGCCTTGAAATTTTAGGGAATACATATCGGGGTCATATAATGTCGTTTGGAACAATTTATGATCATTATATGTTGTCATTAAAGTTCGTGGTAGGCTTGATTTAATGAAATCGTTGCAAGTTGTAAACCGGTAAATTGGCCGTTTAAAGGCAAATTGGATAGATCAACTCCTCCACTCCAGGAGGATATTAGGAACCATGGTAAAAATTTCGGTAATTTTTATTTCCGAGCAAAAAAAGTCAAAAAGTTATAAAATTGAAGCCTTATGTCCACGCTTTTTTAGAAATTTTGAAGGTTTTGGGGCACGACGATGTCGAAAAGCCTAGAGATTTTAGGGAATACATCTCGGGGGTCATATAATGGCGTTTGGAACCATATATGATCATTATATGTTGTCATGAATGTTCTTGGTAGGCTTGAGTTAATGAAATCAGTGCAAGTTGTAAATCGATAAATTGGTCGTTTAAAGGCAAATTGGATGGTTCCACCCACCCAATTGGACTCCCAAATTAAAGGATATTAGTGGTCATGGTAAACATTTTGGCAATTTCTGGGCAAAAAAAAGTTGAAAAATTCCAAAATTTTGGAGATTTTGAGGCCCGATGTCGAAAAGCCTCGAAATTTTAAGGGATATATCTTGGGGTCATATAATGCCGTTTGGAATCGTTATATAATCGTTATATGTTGTAACAAATGTTAGTGTATGCTTGAGTTAATGGAATCGGTGCAAATTGTAAACCGGTAAATTGGTCGTTTAAAGGCAAATTGGATAGTTTCACCCACCCAATTAACTCCCAGACGTTATTAGGGACCATAGTAAACATTTCTGTTTTCAAAATTGAAGGCTAATTAATGTCCACAATTTTGAGAAATTTTGGAGGTTTCGGGGTCCGATTTCGAAATATTTTGAAATTCTAGGGGATACATCTCGGGTCATATAATGTGGTTTGGAACCATATATGATCATTATTTGTTTTCATAAATGTTCGTGGTAGGTTGAGTTAATAATCGGTGCAAGTTGTAAACCGATAAATTGACCGTTTAAAGGCAAATAGGATAGTTAAACCTACCCAATTAGACGCCCATAGGGCACTAGTAGAGCTGTCAATTTGGGTAAACGGGTCGGGTTTGAGTCGAATTAGGGATCATGGTAAACATTTTCGGAAATTTTTATTTCCGGGCCAAAAAAATGTCAAAAAATTTCAAAATTGAAGGGTAATATCCATGCTTTTTGAGTAATTTTGGAGGTTTCGGGGCCCGGTGTCGAAAAGATTTAAGATTTTAGGGGATACATCTCGGGGTCATATAGCCTAGTAGAAAAAAAGCATTAGGCACCCCCCATATGGCACCGGTTCAGCCTAAACCGGTGCCCAAAACCGGTCTAGAATTGGGCGGGTTTTTACCAAAAGAGAAAAGGCACCGGTTCACCCTGAACCGGTGCCAAAAATAAAAAAAGGCACCGGTTTGAACCGGTGCCATTCATTTATTTAAAAAAACCGGCTTTTTTTTATTTTATTTTTATATATATATTAAGTCTCAAACCCTAAAGCTAATTCACTCACAAAAACACTTCGCCGCTCATCCTTTCTCTCTCATCCCTTTCTCTTTCATCTCCTCTCATCTCCTCTTTCAATCTCTTTCTCGTTCTCTTTCAATCCCTTCTTTCCATCAAATTTGATTGTATTTTTTTTTATCGATTTCAGGGTTATTTTTTTTTTGTTTAAGATTTCAATTTTTTTATGGGCTTTTGATTTTTCTTTCAATTTCAATATTTCTTTCGATTTCAACTATTTTGATTTCTGGGTGTTTTCGATTTGTGGGTTATTCTGGGTTAATTTTTTTGATTTCGATCTTGATTTTTTTTTTTCTATTTCTGGGTTTTTTTTTTCGATTTCGATTGTTTTTTTTTCGTTTTTGATTTTGTTTTTGATTTCTGGGTTAATTTTCGGTTACAATAATTGATTTTGGGTTAATGCATGCATTTTTGGGTGTTTTTTTATGGATTTGTTCGAAATTGATTATTTTGGGTTAATACAAGTTGATTTAGGTTTGTTCGAAGTTAATTTTGAGTTTAATTGATTTTATGAGTGTCTTTGAAATTTTTTATGGGTTTCTACGAATTTTTTTTGGTTTAATCCACCACGAACACATGCATGAGCAAGGTTAGGGTATTATTTCTTGATTTTAATTCGATTTATTTTTTATTTTCTGGGTTTTTAATTGATTTTCGAATTTTGTTTTATTTTAATCGATTTATTTGTTATTTTTATCGATTTTAATTTGTTTTTAAGTGATTTTCAATTTTCTGGTTTGGTTAATCGATTTTTAAACTTATTTTAATTCGATTTTTTTTTTTTAATTTCTGGGTTTTTTCTCTCGAAATTTTTTTATTCTCTGGGTTTTTTTTCTTCTGATTTTCGATTTTATTTTTTATTTTAATCGGTTTTTTTCTGAGTTTTTTTTATACATTTTTATTTTTTGATTTTGATGTTCTGGGTTTTTTTTCTAGGTTTTAAACTGATTTTCTTTTTTTTTTTTCCGATTTTCTGGGGTTTTTATTTTTTATTTTTTTCGCAGCTAAATCATGTTAATCGATTAATTTTGGTTGTTTTAATTGGTGCAGGTATATGGATTTAGATCTTAAATTGAAGAATCAAGATACAAGTATATTGTGAAGTTGTAATTTTTTTTTTGTGATTTATATGTTAATTTTATTTATTTATTTATATGTTGTATTTTTTTTTTTTGATTTATATAATGTAATTTTTTTATTGATCTATACTGTAATTTTTTTGATCATATATATATATTGAATAGATTGAATTATATTGATTGTGATGTCCGATTCATATTTGGTATTCTCATTTAATTCTAGTTTATTTAATTTTTTTTAAAAAAAAATGATTATTGGGGGGTTTTTGGCACCGGTTAACCGGTGCCAAAAACTTTGAAATATTTTTTTGTGGGCCTTTTTGGCACCGGTTAACCAGTGCCAATTTCGATTTTTGGCACCGGTTTGAACCGGTGCCTTTTTGGCCCCCTTTTTGGCACCCCTCACATAGGCAGCGGTTCAAACCGGTGCCTTAGACCGGGTTTGAACCGCTGCCAAATGCCTTTTTTCTACTAGTGATAATACCGTTTGGAACCATATATGATCATTATTTGTTGTCATAAATTTTGTAGTAATTTTGAGTTATTGAAATCAGTGCAAGTTGTAAATTGGTAAATTGGCCGTTTATTGGCAAATTGGATGGTTCCCCCAACCTAATTGGATGGTAAACATTTTGACAATTTTTTTTTCCAGGCAAAAAAAAGTAAAAAAAAAAAAAATATCCAAAATTGAAGTCTAATAATATTCACGCTTTTTAAGAAAATTTTGAGGTTTCGAGGCCCGGTATTGAAAAGTCTTGAAATTTTAGATTATAACATCTCGTGGTCATATAATGTCATTTGAAACCATATATAATCATTATTTGTTGTCATAAATGTTCGTGATAGACTTGAGTTAATGAAAACGGTGCAAGTTATAAACCGGTAAATTGTCTGCTTAATACCCAACTAATTGGACTCTCGGAGGGAATTAGGGACCATGGTAAACATTTCACAATTTTTATTTTTGAGCGAAAAAAAGTCAAAAATTCCAAAAATATCCACGTTTTTTGAGAATTTTGGAGGTTTCAGGTCTCGGTGTTGAAAAGTCTTGATATTTTAGGGGATACATCTCGGAGTCATATAATGTTGTTTGGAACCATATAAGATCATTATTTGTTGGCATAAATGTTCGTTGTAGGCTTGAATTAATAATGAAATCCGTGCAAGTTGTAAACTGATCATAAATTGGTCGTTTAAAAGAATATTGGATGGTTCCACCCACCCAATTGGATTCCCGGAGGATATAAAGGACCATGTTAAACATTTTGGCAATTTTTATTTATGAGTGAAAAAAGTCTAAAAATTCCAAAATTAAAGTCTAATATCCACTCTTTTAAAGAAATTTTGGAGGTTTTGAGGCCTAGTGTTGAAAAGTTTTGAAATTTCAGGAAATACATCTCAGGGTCATATCATTCGTTTGAAACCATATATAATCATTATTTGTGTCATAAATGTCCATGATAGACTTGAGTTGATGAAATCGGTGCAAGTGTAAACCGGTAAATTGGCCGTTTAAAGGCAAATTGGATGGTTTCACCCAGCTAATTGGATCCCCGGAGGGTATTAGGGACAATGGTAAACATTTTGGCAATTTTTATTTTCGGGCGATAAAAAGTCAAAAAAATCCAAAATTGTTATCCAAGCTTTTTGAGAAATTTTCGAGGTTTCGAGGCCAGTGTTGAAAAACATTGAAATTTTAGGGGATACATCTCGGGGTCATATAATGTAGTTTGGAACCATATATGATAATTATTTGTTGGCATAAATGTTCGTGGTAAGCTTGAATTAATGAAATCGGTGCAAGTTGTAACCGGTAAATTGGTTGTTTAAAGGCAAATTGAATGGTTCCACCCATCCAATTAGACTCCCATAGGGTATTAGGGACCATGATAATCAGATCATTTCGGCAATTGAACGCTAATTTCCACCTTTTTGAGAAATTTTGGAGCCTTTAGGGCCCAATGTCTAAAAGTCTCAAAATTATAGGAAATACAACTCGGGGTCATATAATGTCGTTTAGAACCATATGTGATCATTATTTGTTGTCATAAATGTTCGTGGTATGCTAGAGTTAAAAAAATCGGTGCAAGTTGTAAACCGATAAATTGTTCGTTTAGATGCAAATTGGATGGTTTTACCCACTTAATTGGACCCCCGGGGGGTATTGGTGACCATGGTTAACATTTCGGCAATTTCTATTTTCCGGCAAACAAAAATCTAAAAATTTCAAAATTGAAAGCTAATATCCACGCTTTTTGAGAAACTTCGAAGGTTTCGGGGCCTAGTGTTGAAAAGAAATGAGATTTTAGTGGATACATCTTGGGATCATATAATGCCGTTTGAAACCATAAATGACCATTATATGTTGTTATAAATGTTCGTGGTAGACTTGAGTTAATGAAATCGATGTCGAAAAGGCTCGAGATTTTAGGGGATAAATCTCGGGGTCATATAATGTCGTTTGGAACTATATATGATCATTAAATTTTGTCATAAACGTTCGTGGTAAGCTTGGGTTAATGAAATCAATTCAAGATGTAAATCGGTAAACTGGTCGTTTAAAGGCAAATTGGATGGTTCCACCCACCCAATTGGACTCCCGGAGGATATTAGAGACCATGGTAAACATACATTTTGGAAAATTTTATTTTCGGCCGAAAAAAAAAAATCGAAAAATTCCAAAATTGAAGGCTAATTAATATCCACCCTTTTTGAGAAATTTTTGAGGTTTCAGGGCCCGGTGTCGAAAATCCTTAAGATTTTTTGGGATACATCTCGGGTCATATAATGCCGTTTGAAACCATATATGTTCATTATGTGTTGTCATAAATGTTCGTGGTAGGCTTGAGTTAATGAAATCGGTGCAAGTTTTAAACCGGTAAATTGGCCATAATTTAGGAAGATAATTATCTCCTTTGACCATACAACAAATATATACTATATTTAACTCTTAAATTTGAGGATGATGCTCCTTTCTTTTGCTGGCCTGGACCGACTTTGTCTCCCTAGACAAAATGCTTTGATCAACAACAATAAGGCGGTCTAAATTGCATTTAAGGTCATTTGAAATCGGGTCAGGAACAATTTGGGTTGAATTTAGGTCGGGTCAATAACAAGTCGTGTTGATTTCGAGTCGGGTTAGTAACAGATCGGGTTGAATTTTTTGATCGGGTTAGTAATAGGCCAAGTCTGGTAAAATTCGGGTCGGGTCAATAAGAAGTCGGGTTGAATTTGGGTCAGGTCAATAACATGTCGAGTTGATTTCGGGTCAGGTTGGTAACAGGTCGGGTCGGGTTGAATTCAGGTCAGGCTAGTAACAAGTCGGGTTAAATTCGAATTTTGATGGGTTAAAATAGGTTTGGGTCAATTTCAGATCAAGTCGGGTTCGGTTTAGGTCAATAATTTACGGGTTACATTCAGGTCGGGTCATCTCCAGGTCAGTTCATGTTCGGGTTCGGGTCTCACATACTCCGGTCAACTTGGGCCTAGGGTTGGTTTCAGGTCGGGTTTGGGTCACCATTTTTTCAGATTCAGATGGGTCGGTTAATAATCGGGTTTGAGTCGTTATTTCGGGTCGGGTCAAGTTTTGATAGCTCTAAATGTATGAATGGACGTACAAGATTTATCGTGAATATATGAACGGTTGAAATTGAAAACAATAGTATTTGATTAATTGAACATTAAACACGTTGGTTGTTGATGATAAAAAAATAATAATAAAAACAAGTAAGCGTTGACTATTGGTCAAATATGATAAGTAGTAGAATTAGAATTGGCATGGATGGTTTGTTGTTATTTCCAAAAGTATTAAGGCCATGATATTCTATAAAAAACAAGGGGAGGACAAATTTAATTCCAACTCAACAACCCGGTTAGATCGGATACATTTTCTCCTCTCTTCTCTCTTCTCTCTTTTTTTTTTTAATTTTATTTTCTCATCTCTAAAAAATCCCAATTCAACTCACTTGTTTCCGGTTTCCCCAAATTTTATTTTACCCCCTGAAAATATGAGAATCGAAAGAGAGAGAAAGAGGGGGAGAAGATCCCAGAATAGATGAAAGGTAGATTGATAATTTTGATACGAATGAATGATTAATTTATGTTTATTGAATTGAATTTCGAAAGAAGAAAATGGGGAATGCGACATCAAATATAGCAGCAAAGTTCACATTCTTCCCGCCAGAACCATCAACATATGATGTGATAAAAAAAGAAGAAGAAGAAGGAAGGTGGGTTTTATCAGGAATAACATCTGATAAAAATGTAGATGTTCATTTGTTGGATACTAAGAGTGGTAATAAAATTGTGGCCACTTTCTGGAAACATCCTTTTGCGAGGTTCACCCTTTTGTATTCTCATGGCAATGCTGCTGATCTCGGTCAGTTGCAAGATCTCTTTATTGAGCTCAGGGCTCACCTTCGTATCAATATCATCAGGTTTTTTCCTTTTCTTTCTTTTTTTTTTTTTTTTTTTTTTATTTTTAAAATTATTTGTCAATAAATAATTGTTTTATTGATTACTATGTTTGAATTGTTGGTTTAATTTGCAGTTATGATTACGCAGGATACGGAGCTTCAACTGGCAAGGTAATTTAATCATGAATATGTTAGGGAGAAAATACAAGTTTATCATGATGATAAATATATTTTGATTATATAATGACATTTTCGTAAATAAATCAACAAAAAATTCCAGTCAGCATTACATTTTTGTAATAAATCAACATTTATGGGATCCGTGTATTAATAAAAAGTTACGAAAATGTCATTAGATTATCATCAAGATGAATGGGGCTCCCTCTAGGTGCGAGTAATTGTATCATAACTAATGTATGTATGTATATATGTTATGGCAGCCAAGCGAATATAACACATACTATGACATAGAAGCGGTTTACCATTGCTTAAAGAGAGAGTATAACATTAACCAGGAAGATTTGATTTTGTACGGCCAATCTGTTGGAAGTGGCCCCACATTACATTTAGCATCACGCATGACCAGGTTAAGGGGTGTTGTTCTTCATAGTGCTATACTTTCTGGTATGCGAGTCCTCTATCCTCTCAAGGTTACATTATGGTTCGACATTTTCAAAGTACGTACGTGTCCCTTATTTTCCAGACTTGTTCTTTTTTTTAATAAAAACATAATCAATGACTTGCTTCCTCATCGTATCTTTTATCTGTTTCATATTTTTGCAGAACATTGATAAAATCCGGCATGTCACCTGTCCTGTCCTTGTTATACATGTAAGCGCGCATCCATTGCCTTCATTTATTTCATCAACTTGCAAAAATCACTACTTAGTTACTTAGCTTCTTCATACTTTATAATGTTGTAGATTTCGATGGATATCAATTTTAATACAATTGGTAATATATATCGTAACTTGACTTTGATTGGTATACGTATATGCAGGGAACAAGTGATGAAATCGTAGACTTGTCGCATGGGAAGAGACTATGGGAACTATCAAAGGATAAGTATGAGCCACTATGGGTAAAGGGTGGGGGTCATTGTAATCTAGAGACTTACCCAGAATACATCAAGCATTTGCGGAAGTTCATTAATTCAATGGAGAAATTGGCCATCACTCAGCCACATAAACAGCTTACCGAGGCCCCAAGTATAATCGAATCCAAGCACTATCGATGTCTAGGATTCGGTAGGAGGTAGCTATGTTAAACTGAATTGGAGAAACATCCATTTTTGTTTGGAGTATTTATGTACCCCTGGTGTACAGTGCATGGCATGTTAATCGTCATCCTCCATCAAATTAAAAGATCTATCAATGAGGGGAATATAATATAATGTCTGTTGCGTGTATATGCTTTTAAGGTAACTCCATTATTACATATATATCAACCCTATGTGGAGGTTAGTTGATTCTTGCAATCATCATGTACTAGCTATCATTGAATCCCGATGCAGGTATTCATCATGTGTCATATAGTTAGGGTCAATGAGTGTATAATCATGTAGTTGGATGTGTAGATGTATTGATAGGATGAGCACAAGTTTGATGATTATCTTGTTTATATTATACTGCCGTTTGGTTGAGTAACATGAGTTTTTCGATTTCATATTTGGCCTTTATTCTATGTATTTTTTCCTTGTAACTTACAGTTAATTAATTTGGGCTAAATGTACTTTTAGATCCATGGCTTTCAACTGTGCATCGACTAAAAAGGTTTCTAAGTAGCTAGTCAATAGGTGTCAATTCAGATGTCTTGTTGGGGTTTGTTGAGGTTGAATTTGATCGGGTCTATTTTAAACTAGTTTTGCGCCCCGTGCGATGTCCGGGTTGTTTATACACTTTTAAGATAAAATTATATTATGATTCAATTTAATTGAAAATAGAATTCTAAATTAACTTTTTTTTTTTCCTACAAAGTTTATCTATATTTATCCAACGTGGTACGACACTTGGTGCGTGAAAAATTAAAACACTAAATGATGTTGTCTTGTGGCCTAATTATAAGTTTATTATTTGGTATTTTATCGAAAATAAAACTCTAAACTAACAATCTTATTCTAAACTAACTTTAATTTATATCTTATGAAGTCTATCCAAATATATCCAAGGTGGTGCAACACTTGGCGATTTTTATGTATGAAGTTTATTAACATCTATCTAAGGTGGTGTGACACTTGGCGAAAAGTTAGAATGTCAAGTGTCGCTATTTCGTGACCTGGCTAAAAGTTTAGTTTTATACTTCATCCGTTAACAATTATTTGCAACAAAGGGGGTGTTTGCGGACTCCTAGGTAAAATTTGTTTGAGAGTGTAAAGTGGAGAGAGAAAAAGTTGGGTGCAAAACTGCAAATATAATTTTATACTTATACTATCCCACTTTATGGAACCTAATATAATTTTATTTACTCCCTTTGTGTTTTTATTTTTTTTAGTGTTATAAATTGACTAAACACGCATGTCGAAAACACAACTTTGACCATTACTTTATCGTATTATATGTTAGTAACATTATAAGAAAATTAATATCATAAAAGTATACATCATTGCGATTCTAACAATGTATTACAATACGGAGTAACATTTTTTTCTATTTATTATGGCTTACGGAGTAGTAAAATAATTAAGTTAAAATCTGTGAATTGTGAAAACGAACACCGAAAAAAATACGAATGAGTGAGTAACAAATCTATTACTCAGTTACTCTCTATCTCTCTCCAGTCTCCTCTTTACTACGGAGTACATAACTATTTACATGCATGATCCTTATTTCTACAGTTTCCTTGACATGCGGAGCTATTGTAAATGTGTAAAAATCAGCAAAACGGAAGGAATACTTATTAATAAGGGTCATTAATGGAATATGTTCCTGATTTGTTTCATTTTTGTGTATTTGAATGCCATGAAACTAAGTATAACCAATTAATTTTACCAAATTAGACTTTATTACAGGTCTTAGATACTATCATACTAAGGCCCTTAAAAAAAATATTAAGTAAAAATAAGTTTATTTCAGTAAAATTCAGTTTTCTTAAAGAAGAATTATAATAGAAAATCAGTAAAAATAATTTCAGTTCAGCAAAAATAATTTCAGTTCAGTATAATTAATTTCAATTCGGTAAAAATAATTTAATTCAACAAATATAATTTTGTTTCGGTAAATATAATTTCAATTCAGCAAAAATAAGGTGAACTGAACGGGATCTAAGTGATTTACCTAAAAAGACATGTATAGTCATTTTTTTATGTTAATCACTCAGTATACGGATTCTACCAAGCTGAATATTTATTTACATCAATGGTATTATTATTTAAGTATGAATGCCCCAAAACTCAATATCGACAACTAATTAATTTTATGATTCGGAATTTATTACATGTCTTTTTAAGTAAATCACTTAGTATCTAGATTTTATTTGTCCAACTGAATTGAATATTTATATCAATGAGGATCACTAGCATTGAAGTATGGATTTAGGTCTTCTTCACTTTACCTTATTTTTACTGAATTAAAATTATTTTTATCGAACTTAAATATAGTATGATTTATTCATCTAATTTTCACCAATTTGAACTTATTTAGAACTTGTTAAAACTTATTTTAGTTGTAACTCAAACTTGGATGACCTTTTACAAAACTTATTTTTGCCTAAACTAAACTTATTTTTCTTGAACTGAACATATTTTAATTTAATTAAACTTATTAGGCCAAAAATAAGTGAAAATAAGGTGAATAAAACAGGCTCTTTAATTATTATTTTTTTTTTTGACGAAAAGCTAGAGAGGTATATTCATATATGTTGAACTAGAAATGTTAGTAATTAAACATAAATTGATTTTACTGAACTAAAATTACATTTGCTGAATTGAAATTATCTTTACTGAAAATTATCTTTTAAGGTAAAATGAATAGAACCTAACATGAACAATTGTTTTTTTTATACAAAGTTTAAGAGTTCAACAAAGATTTTAAGGCAAACTTGTAAACATAGATTCCTTCTGTTTTTCTTAATTCTACTCACCTTTTTTTTCATCCGTTTTTCTAAGTTTTATTCACTAGCTTAGACTTTTACTTTATTCTTTTAGGCTACCTTATATTTATTGTTTATCATATTCATATGCAATCTCATTTTGTGGTCCAATTATATAAAATAATTAATGTCCTTACTCTCTATTTCTCACATCTTTTAAGCAAAATAAAGGAGTCATGTATAGTCCATATGAGTAGAACTTTGAAAAACAAAGGGGGTATGTATGTATATTTTGTATCAATATTGAAAGGTGGAGAAAATTAACAATCAGTTATAATACACTAATTTGAGAATATTTCACTTAACGATACATTTAATCCAAGGTTGAATTTGTTAGATGTATACAAAGTACTTGATTTTCAACACAAGTGGCATATAAATAAGCCGATACACATTAAACAGGTTATCACAGCTAATATAAAATGGTTAGAAAACAATCTTTCTTATAATTATTTTTGTAAATCAATTTTTGTAACAGAAACATGAAAGAAAATCTTGGGAAAATGGAAAGAAATTAAGAAATATGTATAAAAGGAGAATATATATATATATATATATATATATATATATATATATATATATATATATATATATATATAACATTCCATAATAGCAGCTAGAGTATCCAAAAATAATAATTAGGATCATGCAATGAATTATTAAATGATAATAATGATAATAGTAATAAGCAAAATTAATATGATGATGATAATAATGTAAGATTAGTACGGAGTAGAAAGAAGTAGGAAAAGTGGAGTAAAAGAGGAGATTATTACCTTATAAATGGATTCGAACAGCTAAAGAGACAACAAACATTGAAACAGGAGCGAGATAAGTTACCTTGTTTGCACATTTGATAATCAATCGCTTCGCTTAAATTCCCTCGCTTTACCCTTTTGACTTTTTTACATTCAACAATTTTATCTAATCATTCATCATCAAGTTCCATGCACCACTAACTATTCATCCAATTAATTTTTATTATTTATAAATAATTCAATTAATGTAATTATTGGTCTTAAATCTACTATAATTACATATATATGCATTATATATACCAAACCCCTAAGGTTTATGTTGTACATACATATTATAGAATCCTATTCATCTGAATTCTTTTCAAAAACATAAAATGAACAGTTTAGTTGAAAATGAGCGATTTCCTATGGGACTCAGGGTTCTTGTTGTGGATGATGACACTACTTGTCTCAAGTTGATGGACAATCTCCTTAAAAAATGTCACTATCAAGGTTTGTTTTTCTTTGTTTTACTAATTTATTTCCATTTTCTCTTTCTTTTTTTATTTTTCATTTGCATTTTTTCTTTGTCTCAAAACCCCTTATTTAATTGTGTATTGTGCATACATTTTTCATCAATTGAAACTAATAGAGTACGTATATAAAACCTTTTTGGTTGAGGAGCTCTTTCTTTCAATTATAGGTAGAGGTGTCAAAAGAACACCCGACCCGACCCGATCCGAAAAATATCCAATTCAGATTTGGACTCAGTTGAACATAACAATTTAATATGACTTAACTTTAAAAATTGATCCAATCTGACTCGACCATAACAAACCCGATCTAATCATCCAAATTGACACCCCTAATAATATAATAATATGAGATATGCATACACCTTTTGCTACAATCTTAATTATTTATTAGTTTGTATATCCCAAAATAAACTTTTATAAACAAAAAACTATCTTCCACTACAATACATTAGAATTTAAGGTTTTTCTTTTACTTTTTCTTTTTCCTTGTTCATTCAAGTTCTAATTTATTTTATAATTTTATGTGTATATGTTTTCGTACTGGATAGTCACCACGACCAATCAAGCAAGGGAGGCGCTGAAGCTTTTGAAAGAAAACAATAACAAGTTTGATATAGTGATCACCGATGTTGAGATGCCGGATATTAATGGTTTCAAGCTCCTTCAGCTTGTGGGTCTGGAAATGAAGCTGCCTGTCATTAGTAAGCTCATCCTACAAATATCTACCTTAATAAATTAAGTTTTTCGAATCAATTTGATATCTTTCCGTTCCTGAAAAATGGTTAGGTTTACTATTTTGAGGTTTATTTCCCGTTAACAATCTTTCAGGAATGGAGGGGTATTAATTATAATATATTCCGTATATATATATTTATTTGGATGTTATGTCTATGAATCTAATAGATAAGGCACTACAATTAGTAATACTCGGTACAGAGTAATTTTTTTGGAGGATGCATGCCCCACTTTCTTATAGTGAAAAACAAATGGTATTTTCGTAATTAAACCAATAACTTTATTCAATTTTATTTAATTGTGGAGCCCATCATAATGAAAAGTTGTTAATTTATTCACGAAAATGCCAGAAACAAATTTCGTTTCTCAATACGAGAAAGAGAGAATTTCCCTTTATTCTGTTGAGTTCTAAACATTGTAAATGGCCTAGGGAGATTCTAATTTAAAGCTTTTTGGATCAACTGATAGTGCTATCAGCTTATAGCGATACAAAGCGAGTGATGCAAGGCGTTAAGAATGGTGCTTGCGACTATTTGGTGAAACCCGTGAGGATTCAAGAGCTCCAAAATATATGGCAGCATGTTGTGAGAAGGAACAATAAGCTTATTCCTCCACGAGGAGTGGCCAAAAGAGGAGAAGGCACTGAAGTAAGTTGTGGGGATGACATTAATGACGATGACGAGGACGAAATGGAAAATGAGGACCCATCAACCCAGAAAAAGCCTCGACTTTTCTGGTCGGTTGAGCTACATCAGAAGTTTGTCGATGCTGTCAACCAGTTAGGCCCTGATAGTAAGTAGATTGAAATGAGGATGTTCCACTTTCTCACGGTGATATGGCATCTTCGTAAATAAATTAACAATTTTATTCAATTGTGGAGCCCATAATAATGAAAAAGTTGTTGATTTATTCACGAAAATGCCTCATGAGAAACAAATTTCGTTTCTCACCATGAGAAACAGGGAATTCCCCGATCAAAATACTTGTTTAACTAATGTAGGATCTTGTTTAATTTGTTAATGCTTTCTTTTCTTTTTAATCTTTTGCAGAGGCCTTTCCTAAAAAGATTCTTGACCTAATGAACGTTGAAGGACTTACAAGAGAAAAGGTTGCAAGCCATTTACAGGTGTATATGAATCTTTTCTTTCTTTCACTCTATATGTTGATTAACAACTTAACATTTTAATAACCAACAATAATGCCTAATATTTATTTATTTATTTATTTTCAGAAATATAGGCTTTATCTTCGAAAGGTAAATTCTGGAATGAGTCTGCAGCCAGGAAGCAAGCTTGGCTCGATTGGGGCTGATCCTGAGGATGCACACATAGGGGGAGGATATGGAATATATCGCAGCCTTGCAGGAAACGGAAAATTTCCTAATATAACATCTATACCACAGCAAGCAGCAGGAGGAATGCTTGGTCGCTTCAACACTAATGATGGATTATTTAGTCTTAGAGCCCTCTCTTCTTCTCCAGTGATGAATTTTGGGAACATATCTAGTTTTCCTGCGAACCAAAATACTCTACTTTCTACAACAGTGCAAATGAATAATAAAGTTTCTCCAGCAACCGATGGAACCTCACTGCTACCATTAAACGCAAGAGATTTAGGCGGCGGCCACCAAATCTCAAATATTGGTGGCGTAGGAGTTGGGGGTGGCGCTAATCTGAAAGCGAGATGGGGGGCTACAATTGAGTGCCCTCAAAATCTCCTTTCAACTAGCGGCAACACTCATCAAAATCAGAGTATTCAAAATGACCCGCTTCAGTTTTGTAATGGAGTCTCGTCAAAAGGAAATGTGGTGGATGACCCAAAGCTATTTTGTGGTCGAGGGCAAAGTAGTTCTGAATCCTTAGAGGATGTCTTGGGGAGGTTTCTTAAACAGGTATTTACAATAGTAATTAATGGGAAATTTCCTGTTTCTCATGTTCAGAAACGAAATTTGATTATCAATATTTTCGTCAATAAATCAACAACTTTTTCATTTTTGTGGGTCCCACAATTGAATAAAGTTGTATAAAATTATTGGTTTATTTACGAAAATACAAATTTTATTTCTTACTATGAGAAACTGGGACGTCCCCATAATTGATTACGTAATTGATATCTATATTAGGGACATTATTCTTTTAAGTGGTCATCCTGTATTCATTGATGTACTCACGCAAGTGCGTTTGCGCAGGGAAGTGATGAAAATACAACCGTACGAGAAGACTTTGGCCTTGATCCCTTCCTCATGCAATAGTTGCATTCATTTATATATGTTGTAATTTACTTTACGCTAGAGAACACATTTTGTTAAAGTAATGTTTTTTTTAATTACAATATATGCTATGTTTATCTAATTTTATGTAGTAATTTATTTGGTGTTGTTAGATATCTACTCAAGTATCAACACTTGGTATTTGGTATACCGCTCTCATATCAATGACCCAAAGATCACTTATTCTCTAAAATCAATTTCTTTAAGCTTGCTCATTTCTCCCCTGATGATAAATGACCCAAAGATCACTGATAAATGTTCACATATCAAAGATTGATAAATAAAGTATATATTAGGGACTTTGGGTGCGGTGTATTCAATATTTTTTTATTCTCATTTAATTTTAATAATTATGCTTGTTTATTTATCTATTGAGTAAAAATAAAAATAAAAAATTGCGAGGAAGGAACTTTAACTAAATTTCGATCATTAACTTTATTTTAATTTATGGCCATTGACCATCACACGTTCAGCACAAAAATTACTTTTTTTTTTTTATTTTGTTCTCCAAAACAAGCCCTTCGAGACGGCAATTCCCACGTGATGATGCGACCCTAAGAATGCAAACTCAAAACTCTATTTTGTTTGTGTAAATAAATTTATGTCTCCTTTGGTGTGATCAATTTTGGAGCAACTCAAGAAGCTTCGTGTTTCTTATTCGTCTTTCGTTCTTTCCTTATTGAGGAAGCTTGCATGCATTTTAGGCCTTGAAAATGTGAACATTCCACTTTTTTTATTCATATTCGCAGTAATCACAACAATTTTCTTTTATGTGAATTTTATTATAACTACAACCCTTTTCTATTTGGTAAGCATCCACTATTATTTTATTTCATACTTCCTTATTTTTTTTAGTTGACACCTTTCTATTATCACGCTTAGAGCTGTCAATTCGGGTAAACGGGTCAGGTTTGGGTCGGGTAAGAGTGGGTCGGATCAACTCGGGTCAGGTCAATTCAGATTAATTCCATAACCTATGCGGGTCGGGTTTGAGTTGGGTCATACTTGAGTCGGGGCACGTCGGATCATACTTTTATCGGATTAGGTCGGGTTAATAACAGGTCGGGTGAACAATAGGTCGGGTTTTCACGGGTTAAAACAGGTTAGGGTAATTCTCGGGTTCAATTCATGTCAATAATTTGCGGGTTAGAATCAGGTCGGATCATTCTCGGGTTTGAGTCAGGTTCGCTTCAAGTCAATAATTTGCGGATTATAACCAGATTGGGTCATTTCTAAGTCGAGTCATTCTCTGATTCAAATCGGGTTATATTCAAGTCAATAATTTGCAGGTTACAATCAGGTTAGGTCAAGTCAGGTCATATTCGGGTTCAACTAACTATAAATAGATAGTTATCATTTTTATCAATCTAATAATTTCCTTTGACTATAATATATATGGCAATAGACTTGGGAGTTATATTCTATAATTTAGGAAGATAATTATCTCTTTTGACCTACAACAAATATATTATATTTAACTCTTAAATTTGAGGATGATGCTCCTTTCTTTTGCTGGCATGGATCGACTTAGTCTCCCTAGACAAAATGCTTTGATCAACCATGATAAGGTGGTCTAAATTGCATTTAAGATGATTTGAAATCGAGTCAGGAAAAATTTGGGTTGAATTTATGTCGAGTCAATATCAAGTCGTGTTAATTTCGAATCGGGTTAGTAACAGATCGGGTTGAATTTCTGGGTTGGGTAAGTAATAGGTATGGTAAAATTCGGGTCAGTTCAATAACAAGTCGGGTTGAATTTGGGTAGGATCAATAACAAGTCGGTTTGATTTTGAGTCGAGTTTGTAACAGGTTGGGTTAATTTTGAGTCGGGTTAGGAACGGGTCAAGTTAGTTGAATTCAGGTCAGGTAATTAACAAGTCGGGTTAATTTCGCGTTTTGACGGGTTAAAAGGGTTTGGGTCAAATTCGGTTCAAGTCGAGTTCGGTGCAAATTAATTAAATTGGCCGTTGTAAACCGGTAAATCGGTGCAAGTTGTAAACCAATAAATTGGTCGTTTAAAAGCAAATTGAATGGTTCCACACACCTAATTGGACTCTCGGAGGGTTTTAGGGACCATGGTAAACATTTGGCAATTTTTATTTTCGGGCGAAAAAAAGTCAAAAAATTCCAAAATTAAAGGCTATATCCACGTTTTTTGAGATATTTTGGAGGTTTCAGGGCTCAGTGTCGAAAAGTCTTGAAATTCTATGGGATACATCTCGTGGTCATATAATGCCGTTTGGAACCATATATGATCATTATTTGTTGTCATAAATGTTCGTGGTAGGCTTGAATTAATGAAATCGGTGCAAGTTGTAAACTGGTAAATTGGTCGTTTAAAGGCAAATTGGATGGTTCCATGCACCCAATTGGACTCCCGGAGAGTATTAGGGATCATGGTAAATATTTCGGCAATTTTTATTTCCGGGCGAAAAAAAAAAGTAAAAAATTTCAAAACTGAAGGCTAATATATCCACGCTTTTTTAGAAATTTTGGAGGTTTCTGGGCCCAGTGTAAAAAAGTATTAATATTTTAGGGGATACATCTCGAGGTCATATAAATGTCGTTTGGAACCATATATGATCATTATATGTTGTCATAAATGTTTGTAGTAGGCTTGAGTTAATGAAATCCATGCAAGTTGTAAACCGATAATTAAATTGGTCGTTTAGAGGCAAATTGGATGGTTCCACCAACCCGATTGGACTCCCGGAGAGTATTAGGGATCATGCTAAAAATTTCGACAATTTTTATTTCCGGGCGAAAAAAGTCAAAACATTCCATAAATGATCATTATTTTTGTCATAAATCTTCGTGGTAGGCTTGAATTAATGAAATCGGTGCAAGTTGTAAACCAGTAAATTGGTCGTTTAAAGGCAAATTAGATGGTTCCACCCACCCAATTGGACTCCTGGATCGTATTAGGGACTATGGTAAACATTTCGGAAATTTTTATTTACAGGCTAAAAAATGTAAAAAAATAAAATAAAAAAATAAAACCAAAATTTAAGGCTAATATCCATGCTTTTAGAGAAATTTTGGAGGTTTGATATCGAAAATCCTTGATATTTTAGGGGATACATATTTGGGTCATATAATGTCGTTTGGAATCATATATGATCATTATATGTTGTCTTAAATGTTCGTAGTTGGATTGAGTTAATGAAATTGGTGCAAGTTGTAAACCGGTAAATTGGTCGTTTAAAGGCAAATTGGATGGTTTGACCCAGCCAATTAGACTCTCGGAGGGTATTAGGGACCATGGTAAATATTTTGGCAATTTTTATTTCCATGCAAAAAAAAGTCAAAAAAATTCCAAAATTGGAGACTAATATCCAAGCATTTTGCGAAATTTTGAATGTTTCGGGACTCAGTGTTGAAAAGTCTTGAAATTCCAGGGAATACATCTTGGTGTCATATAATGTTGTTTGGAACCATATATGATTATTATATGTTATATGTTCTCATAAATGTTCGTAGTAGGCTTGATTTAATGAAATCGGTGCAAATTAATTGTAAATCGGTAATTTGTCGTTTAAAGGCAAATTGGATGGTTCCACCTACCCAATGGGAATCCCAAAGTGTATTAAGGATCATGGTAAATATTTCGTCAATTTATAATTCCGGGCGAAAAAAATTTAAAAAAATTCCAAAATTGAAGGATAATATCCATGCTTTTAGAGAAATTTTGGAAGTTTCGGTGCCCGTTGTAAAAAAAAACCTTAAGATTTTAGGGGATACATCTCAGGGTCACATAATACCGTTTGGAATCATATATGAGAATTATATGTTGTCAGAAATGTTCATGGTAGGCTTGAATTAATAAAATCGATGCAAGTTGTAAATCGGTAAATTTGTCGTTTAAAGGCAAATTGGATGGTTCCACCTACCGAATTAGACTTTGGGATGGTATTATAGACCATGGTAAAAATTTCGGCAATTTTTAAATCCGGGCGAAGAAAAGTAAAAAAATAAAAAAATTGAAGGTCAATATCCACGCTTTTTGAGAAATTTGGAGTCTTCAGGACCCGGTGTCTAAAAGTCTTGAAATTTTATGGAATACTTCTCGGGGTCGTATAATATCGTTTGGAACCACATACGATCTTTATTTGTTGTCATAAATGTTCGTGGTAGGCTTAAGTTAATGAAATCGGTACAAGTTGCTAACCGGTAAATTGGTCGTTTAAAGGAATATTTGGATTCTCAGAGGGTATTAGAGACCATGGTAAATATTTCGGTAATCTTTATTTACGGGCGAAAAAAGTTAGAAAATTCCAAAATTGAAGGCTAATACCCACGTTTTTTGAGAAATTTTGGAGGTTTTGGGACCCGGTTTCGAAAGGCTTGAGATTTTAGAAAATACATCTCAGGGTCATATAATGCCTTTTGGAACCATATATGATCATTATATGTTGTCATAAATGTTCGTGGTAGGCTTGAATTTTTGAAATCGGTGCAAGTTATAAATCGGTAAATTAGCCGTTTAAAAGCAAATTGGATGGTCTCACCCACCCAATTGGACTCCTAGAGGGTATTAGGGACCGTGGTAAACATTTCAGCAATTTTTATTTCCAAGCGAAAAAAGTGAAAAAAATTCAAAAATTGAAGGCTAATATCCACGCTTTTTGAGAAATTTTGAAGGTTTTGGGGCTCGATGTCAAAAAGGTTTGAGATTTTAGTAGATACATCTAGCTTGGAGTCATATAATGACGTTTGGAACCATATATGATCATTATATGTTGTCATAAATGTTTATGGTTTGCTTGAATTAATGAAATCGGTGCAAGTTGTAAATTAGTAAATTGATCGTATAAAGGAAAATTGGATGGTTCCACTCAACCAATTGGACTCCCAGAGGATATTAGGGACCCTGGTAAACATATTGGCAATTTTTAATTTTGGGAAAAAAAAAAGTTAAAATTCCTAAATTGAAGGCTAATATACACACTTTTTGAGAAATATTGGAGGTTTTGGGACCCGGT